TTTGAAGAAAGAGGAAACTTGTTAGAGTTGAGGTAAGTTGGAGAGGCTAAAATAGTAACTACAAGATAAGTTTTTTTAGATTGAATGTTCTACTTTATTTAAACTAATAAATTAGCCCTGCCAGATTTCTAATAAATATACTTTAATATTCTTACTTAAATTAAGAATAATGTCTATCTCATCCTGGCATCAGAATATTTTTTGTATTTTTATTTTATTTTCAAATAATTACTTCTTTGCCCAATCATAAAATCTCACTTGTATTATTATTTTTTGTACCAATATTTCTTCCTTTAGGTTCTACATAATAATACTCATATGGTATATTTTACATAATATCTATATTCAATATTTCAAGTTGTAGCTCAATTGAACCTCTACAGCTATTGTGGTTCAAGTTTTCTTATATGGTACAATATTAGTGAAATAAAGAAATTCTCACCTTTATTCAAGCTCATGACTTAATTCTACTAGATATCTAATCACAATGCTTTTACCTACTAGCTTTGAGGAGAGATCTAGTCTAATTAATCCAGTTCACAGAATATTTTTACTATTTTTGGTGTATTTTTGAAAAATTCCTGATTGGTACAATTATAAAATCTTACATTCTCTATACTTTTCTTGATAACACTTCTGGTTTTATGTAATATAATCTAAATTTTATATTACATACTCTAAGCTATGCTGATATTCTTTCTTCCCAGTTGCTGCCAAATTGATCATCTACTGCTGTTGTGGTTCATCTTGTGTACAAGTTTTAAAAGTATCCTATAACTAGGGCATGTCCCATAACTAGGTCGAATACGTTATGCAACAACTCGATGCAGTGATTAAATGTCATGGTTCCAAATAGCTGCATATTTTTTAGAGAGATCTACTTTGGACTTATAAAAACTATTTGGCACTTGATTTCCAGTTGCGGCAGAGTAAGATATACTGGAGAAAAGGTTCGGATATTTGTATTGTGGAGTAAGTTTTCAGCTCAGAGTATCCCTTGGTCTACTGAGACACTAGTAAAATCCCTGCCATGCATTAGTGAAAGGAATTTAGCCTACTGTATCTAGTACCTCATGTGACTTCAGACTACATTACTTGCTTAATTAGTCCACTGCAATCTTAATAGAATTCATTGACCCTCTCTCATAATAACAGAAATCATAGCAGCTAAATGATCCTACAAGCCTGTTTTTACATGCAGTTCAAATATCAATCGTACTACCAAAAGAGGTAAAATAGCAGCCAGCCCTGGGTCTACAGTTAATAATGCCACAGCCTTTTATTCTATAAAGTATAATAAGCATACAATGGATCCCTGATTACTACCTCATACCAGTCTGTACTATCAACTACTTGTTGCTTATTTTAGAATAATAAAATAATTATGAAGCCTGTCAGTTGAGCTGATATTTCTTACAGACTTCTTCATCTATAAAGTCTTCAGTTGCTCCTGAGTCAAGCATACATCCTCCGTCTCCGCTATACCTCCGGCGATTGAAAACTCAACACCATGGTTACTATCGTGGCTTTCATCGTCTAGCACCACCACCCCCCCTCCATCTCCCTCCATCTAACCTTGGCTACAGGAGGTGGGCTCGCTTCCCCTCTCCCTTGGGGTCCTGATTTATTTCTTGACTCCCTCGGTTCCATCCCTGGTTGAGGCTTCTCATCTTCGTGATGTTTCCCCTCTTCCTACCCCGCCTCGCTTAGGCATTGGCACGGTCGGCAACCCCCTTTTCCAGCTTCAACAGACGGCTGGGACTATAGTTGCAGTAGGAGAGAACAGCTTACAGGCTACGGTCGATCTCTCCATTCTCTTGCCCCCGTAAGAGGCTGCCTAGTCGGACATGAACATGGTTACTGATAGTTGTCGTTCACAGATTTGGGTCTACCCCTCTTCCACTCTTTGGAGCCTTTTTGGCTGGCAGCTGGTGGGATCCCATCCACTACAGTGACGCTATCTCTCCCAGAACAAGGGACTACATGAGAGACGCAGTAAAATGGCTGCTTTGCTTAGGGCTCCTCTCTATGGTTAGATCGGCTGGCATCCTACTGCCACCTCCTCTCAAGCTGGCACCTTACTGCCACAATCGTCGATTGTCCCGGAGGACATACAGTCGCTGGCACGCCTGCCACACACCTCCTCTCTCTGCTTCTCGGCCGCCATCTTCGGGGTGGTTTCCCTTATACCCTTCACGTCCGAGGCTTCGGCTCCCTCCCCCTGGCCCTCGTCATATGGCCGTGGGGTTCCTAGGATGGATTTGAGTTGTGATCGTTGGCCCTTTGGGGTTCGGTTTGGGTTTCTGCCTTTAGGTGTTTCGTTCTTGGGGTTGGGGCGCATTCTTGGTTCACTGTCGGGTAGTTAGCTTTCTTTTGTCGCTTGGCGGTGGGGGTTATTGGGTGGAGCAGTTTATGGATGGGATTTCAGGCGGGAGTACTTTTTTATACCCCCAAGGATTTTTTTAGCTCTGTCGTTCGGCCCGGGGCCAGGGAGGAGGGTTTTTTGGCGTTATAGCTAGCGCTCCATATGCCTTTTGTACCTTAAACAGAATTCAAATGAGTCAAACAAAAACAAAAAACAAAAAATCCTGAGTCAAGCATAGTCATCATAGCTAGCACTCCATACATTTTTTGTACCCTAAACAAATAATCAATGAGTTAAACAAAAAATCTTGAGTCAAGTATAGCATGTATTATAGTGGATTATTTTTTGTCATTATATATTTTGGTTTTGATCATGACATGATTATTGTTGTTTTCCTTCATGTCTGTTTGTAAAATTGTATAATAATTGACTAAGGATATGGGTTTGTCTTTCAATAGGTCCCACAGACCATCTAATACTAGAGACCTTTATATTTTACTATCTCTACATGCTCCTCCTCAATGTCCATTTCTCTCAAGTTGCTTTGAGGTTGAAAGTAGTTGGTGGGTCAGAAGTCCTTAACTTCTTTCCCTCTGTTTGATTCTGTATTGGCATTATACCTGTAGTTCTTAATCATATATCCAGCAATTCTGCATTTTAGATACAAGTTGTTTTTTCTTCTACAAAAAATATTCTTCTTTGAAGAGGTTAAGGAATCGTCTTCTCCTAGTTGCATCCTGTTCTATAGCCTCTCCTCTCTGTATCATAGTTCAGAAAGTTCCATCTTGATTTCAGAGCCAACCCGAACTTCTTGCATTCATTATTGGTATCATGGTTACTTGGTTTTTCTTAATCTAATCCAGATGGCTGAATTGATTTCCTTTTTGAATAGCCCAGTTGACCATAGCTTAGGTTGTTGTGAACTTTTCTTCTGTGTATTTCTATACCTCTTGAAAAGTTTTCTTTAGTCTTTTCATGAACTATCTCATAGCCATAACCTTATAGTAGATGCTGTCTAGAGACAACACCTTGTGGCACACCTCAGAGGATACAACGGGAGATGCTTTGGCATTTAACTCTGCTGAAAAAAAATTCTGGGTTTAGGTTTAAATCACTAGGGTACCTGATGTATTCCGACTATTGTATAGAACATTTTTGTATATAATATTATCATATTATACGTATCCCTGGGCCCTTCAATAATTGCTCTACAAATACCATATTAACAGTCTCTTCTTCTAAAGGCTAAATCAATTACAACTTGTATAATGGCAATCCCAAATACTAGAAAAATGTCATATACACTCGCAACTGTTCTACCACCCCCCAGACTTATTATTCTATCCACACTGTGTAACTGTACATAATGGGAGAGACTATGTCTCGCAAAGGCTACTGCTCCGCAATCGCTAGGTCAATAGTTATAGGTAGATAATATCATATTTAATAATTATACATAATACCATGCTACACAATACTTAGGATATATCAAGTACTCTAGTAATTTAAACCTAAACCCAGTATTTTTCAGTAGGGTTAAATGCCAAAGCATCCCCTGTTGCATCCCATGAGGCATCCCACAAGGTCTTGTTTCTAGATGGCATCCACTATATCATATCCTGCATCGAACTCAAATAGTCTGAACCTTCATCAAAAGTCTGTGATGTTTCTTCCTTCTCGTCAAATATTTTCTAATTTATTGCATGCAGACTGACTTAGTTTGATGGCTAAGAACTGGGCCTCAAACTGGATCCTAAAGGTGTTTTAATCCATCTAAGGTACATTCATTTCTCCAATCACAATGGGTATTACCCATTGTAGTGCTGCCACTTTGAACAGTATTAAGGTATATCATATCTTTTCAAGATCATTTTCTTGAGTCCAGCCTACTGCTTCAAAGTAGGTAAGGAGCTGCACAATAAATTCTCATAGTTTGCTTCTTTTTCTATCGTATCGTGAAGGTATCTTAATCCAGAGTTTTTGCCCTCCTTGTACCAAGGCGTATCATATTATTTGTTCTACTCACTCCCTTGGAATCATCTCCTGTAGTGCCGGTCCTGTGGGAGAAGGACCTCCTAGTAGTAGTAGTAGCCTAACTATGGTTCTTGGTCTTAGTATACCTAGTACTGCTTCTCCATTCAGGAGTGTTATCTGGTACTGGATAACTGGACTTGCTCCTCCTAGAGGTTAGTCACTTATCTCGCTTCATGCTTGCTCACAATTTCTGAACCCTAAGATATCATCTTGTAGGTTGAGATCTCCTTCTCTGTTGATAATAAAGGATGCCATAGTATTATCATTAAGTGTCGCTGGTAAGACATGTTCTGATGTTAAGAATATGACCAGGTACAGGAGTATGACAGGTAATGATTCTTGCTTTCTTGTAAGGTAATAGTTCCTAAGCCAATGTTCATATAATGTTGATAGTCAAGACCTGGACTTCTATCTGATTGTAACTATTCCTTGAGTTCTCGCTCAGGACTTATCTTATTGTCAAGAGAGGAATAATAGTTTTCAAGTTTCTTGAGGTAGAGTAGGGAGTATAAAGATATTTTATTGAATAACTTGTAAGTGTAGAAAATAACTTAGAAGAATATGTAAGGAGTTCATACTAGAGGTCCTTGTAATTCTGTATATAGCCACTCTTCACCTAGCATGACTCATACCTCATGTCATACAAACCCTATGACTTACAACCATAAGTAACATGAGTTCCTTCAGCTTACTCCTATGAGTCACTGTGTAATATACCTTAAGCTAATTAAACCTAAATAAATAAGTTAGGGGCACAACTCGTATCACCTAAGTGAAACCCATGACTCATAATTTGAGTCATGTGTAAAAATTATAACATCATGTTACTCACAACTATGTGTTACAAACAAGTAAATATAATAACCTATGACTTGCCATTGCTTTGTCATGTGAAAAATCCAATATATCTATTGTCCAAAATCCTAAGCCATGTAAAATCTGCCTCACTTAGTTACTGTTTATAACTGACAAATGGTGAATAGCTGGAACAAATAGAGCATAACTGGCAGCTACAAACAATAACTCTCAGAGGATAGCCAATAACTCTCAAGTATGGTCAGAAACTATGGCAGTTAAAATATACCTACTATACACCAATTGAGAATAAAAAAAACAATACAAATTGCAGGTAAATTGTCTCAATTTGAGGTATGAAATTAATTACTAAAGGGGTGGTTAAAGATACTTTCAAGAATGATAATCTGGACCCACTTACGAAAGAGAGAATCAGTAGATTTACTGATCCATATGCAGCAATGTAAGCTCTATAGAATTTTTAAATGTGATCTAAAGATATAATGACAATACTTAGACAGAACTAAAGCTCCTGATATGGCTATGGTACCCAGAGATTATTTCTGGCCTACAATCATGTTTGAGTTTGGCTATACTGAACTGTATAAGAATTTGTAAGCTAATGCAAAGCTTTTGCTTGAGGGCTCAGAGGGAGAAATTAGTAAAGTAATCCTGATTAAGTTGAACCTGCTTGAAGAGGACTCGGAGGAGATGCAAATGCAGCATGAATTTGTTGAAATGTGGTATTTTGTTGAAGGTACAAGTAAGTGGGACTGCAACTACAAGGTGACTATGAAAACAATTCTTGACAGGAGCTTTTCTTAACTAATATATAGAATGTAGACCCTTTTTTCTTCCTCAAAAAGCCACAAGAACCAGAGACTGCAGTTGACCCTAGGAGAAATCCTCTACAATGAGTTCTGTAATATAGCTTCTGAGGGTTGGACCGAAGTGGATACAATTTATCTCACCTTAGACCCGCTACGGAAATCTATCATCAAAGCTACAAAGTGTCACCTTATTAATAAAGGTGTATCGCCAGAACCCGCAGTTCAAGTTTACTATTGTGATATAAAAGGGTAACAGTTAACAGTAGTGTCTGCAATGGGGCAGTCCCTCCGTCCGGGACCTGCCAGTGGACCAGGACCAGGACAGACTGCATTTTGTCATCCCGTCCGGTCATTTTCTTAACATACCCGACAGGTAAGAATGAAGGGCCAGGATGGGCTGCATTGCACTGCCCCACCTGGTCTTTTCCCGAACTTGCCCGACACATAAGGTTAAAGGACCATCCACCGACAGTTCCCTGCCATCACCCACAGTCACCTACCGTCCCCTACTATCCCCGGTGGTCCTATGTAGTCACCTGCCGTCCCCTACCAGAAGTTGTCTCAGATTGTAGGGCTCATTATCCTTTGCCATGACGGCCGTCCTAGGAGTTCAAAGACGAGGACGGACTATATGTTGCCGTCCTGTCCCGTCCCGAGCTCTTGGCACCCCCTCCGTCGGGCTCTAAGGGGAGTCCCAGATGGTTGAGAACACTGGGTAACAGAAACTGTGAAACTGGATATGTGTTACTTTGTGGTATGTGCCGCTCACCTTGATCAGCTGGACGCAGAAATTTGATCCTAATGATATCTCGTTTGTTTAGGTATTCTATGATAAATCCGCTAGTATCAATAGCATTTCTACAGCGAGGGTGGCATGTTTCTTAGCCTATCAGGTAAGGCATCTTGTAATTTCTGAAGAGATACTTTTCTTTGTTACTTCTTTTCTTAGGTATTATTATTTTGAATTGTGGAAGATGTGCGGGCTTGGATTTCGAATGTATTTATAGTGCCCCACACCCGAGTAGTTGGGCCTGCATGCCTACATTCCTTTTATGTTTTTTCTTTCTATTTATGGTTTCTTCATCAATTGCGGCAAGCCATGTACAGTAACTCTTAATAGTATGTGACATGCAGGTTGAAACATCAAAACATTTGTATTACAATATCTACAGGACCATCAAACTGGTATTCTATCTCTTGCAATCAGGATCCCATCATGAGGAACTTCATTTTGTGTGGTAAAAATCCAGATAGGTGATTGAAGATACATCTCAAGATTTGAGGAAGGTTACCAAAATGCCCATCAAAATTCAAAGTAAAGAATAGTACATCAACGTGATTGACAACAAAATATCTTAAAGGGATATCCTAGTATGAATCTACAGGCAGCCCACGGGGAATGGGTAATTTTTTTATTGTATAGGTCAATTCTATTTTGTTTAAGCAAATTTGCTTTTTTTATAGCCTAAAGATAAGATCTAAAATGCAATTCTCACAAAAGTGAAAAGTTTCAAGAACAGCTAAATAGTAGAGAATCTGCCTACTAGTACTAACAGAACTTGTAGTTCAGGTTACCGTAAAGCCATCCTGAGCATCGGGCTCAAGGGATCCCGATATTTCTCTTTCAGGAGACCATCCTAGCATTCTCTGCGTCACCGTGGGCCCTGGCACCGACGGCCAAGAACTACATACAAGACCAGACAGTAAAACATAGATCGTTCAGATTCCACGAGCTACAGGGAAGTGCTAGCATAGGCATTATGGATTGAGAAATTAGGAGACTATTATAGACGTATTGGGAAATATCAGATTTTATTCAAACAAAGCCAAAATTTTGTCTAGTTCATGAATATGATAAATCACAAGTTGTCACTCAAACTTTAATGGAGCTTTTTTATTTATTTTATGTCGCTTCAAGGTAGGGTATCAAATTCTTGAGGTGCTACGGCCAGCGTCACTTCCAAAATTGTCACAGTTTTGGTCAGAAACCAAGCACAGGGGCTAAGTCTTCCGAAACGATAGAACTCTAAGAGGAATTATAAACCCACGAAGCAGTGCATAGGAACAGTAAGCCTATCACGGGGGGGAATGAAGGAACGCAATGCGCAAGATGGACCGCAGGCTTCGGAGAAATAAAGTTAGATGAAGGGAACACCGGCCCCCTGCTGGGTTGATAGTGCCGAATTTCCCTTCACCACGTGAAAGAACACCCATCGTGGCCACGTTAGTCGTCTCCTTTGTCCCTTTGCCAGCAGAATCGCCTAGCATGTTACCCCAAAACATCATGGGTAGGACATACCGACATGAGAATTACATCACTGTGTATTATCTCCGAGCACACCTATACTCGTATACACACACATATACAACCCCTTTCCGACGAGAGGATACACAGCTCACGACAAGTGACAGAAGGTTCCATATCGCCCCCGATTATCCAAAATTAGAACGGGGGGAGAATTTTCCATGATATACATATCTTCACTGTCTAACAACGGAATGAGGTTGCAGTTTAACCTAACCGGATGTAATCGATATCACTCTCTACCTTTTGCCGAACAGTCCGGGACCAATTACATCACCAGCAGTTCAAAAAAAATTCTAGAGCGATGTAGGGAAATTCGTCACCATCAAGTACAGTACAGTACTCGAGCAGTATTGGATATCGGCAATATGGTGAAATGATGATACCACGCCTCTGTATGCTTCCAATCCCGGGAATGCGCTCAGAGACGGGTAAGGCATGTGAGATGGATTCTTCGACAGGCCCATCAGCGGAATAACTACGGTACATCATGCAATAGTAGCAGAAATTGTTGTGATAACACCTGCGATCCTGCTGGTATCAATTAACGTATTACTCGCACACTCTTCCATCTGATACATCCTACCGAACCAAAAAAACCCGGGCATCCGGTCCCCCACCATATGGCCACTCCCCACACAGTGCCACCCCCCACTCCCTACCGTTATCATTGACACCATTACTACGTCTTTCAATCCCTACACTACCAGTCACCACCCCCCAACATCCCACCATCGCTACCGGTATCACAAGACCCGAATTTTTTTCCCGCAGTCTATTCCCCCATTCCACGTGTTGAAGCCCTGGGCGCCTTGTCATCCTAGGACCCCGCATGAACGCGATGATACACACTCGGACAAAACCCGAATTTATAAATTCAAGGATGAAATGACTGGCCGGCCATAAACAGTCCCCGCCATTTCAACCGGATAATGCAATATGATACAAGAATTCCAGCCTGCACCGGTGCCCAGTTTAGAATAATAAAAAAACAAAGTGCACAGATCATCCCCGCCGCACGCGCCGGACCCGAGATATACAGAGAATACTAGACAAAGGAAATGAAAAACTACGTCGGTGGTGTTGGAGGCAATAGTCCCAAATCGATATTATACATGAAGCTACTCGACGGGGCATGTCAGACAAAATTATGGACAAATTGATCAAGACATCCTCTCCATAACCGGCAACGAGGTTCGCGCTCCTGACTCTTCCATCCTTTGAAGCGCGAGTTTGAGCGTTGCTGAGCGAGCGCTGTATATTGACTCGGTATACGCCACCGAGCGGGGGGTAGAGGCTCGCAGAAGTTGGTGCTGTAATGTGGGGTATGCATCCCCAGTACGGGTGGGCCTGTATGAAGGAACCTGTAGCGGAGCAGGTGCCGGGGCCATCACGTATTCTCCAGACGACGCCTCGTCAATTGTAGAAAGGTCCTCGGAGGAGCTATGGACTGACTGGAGACTAGCCCATTCCGAGACTCTATTTCGCTGGTGCTGGAAGGTGGATAACCTGCGCGGCGGTGATTGCGGAGGAGTCAACAATTGACGGCTTTGTCCCTGTGGGAAGCGCGGGGAAGATCGGGGTGAACGGGCGGTAGTCGGTGGGGTTGTTTGGTAGTTGTGGAGCTTCTCCATTATGGAGACCACTTTCTCGACGATGTTTGCTGCGTCTTGGGGAAAAGCTTAGCTGGTTGAACGGAAGAACAGAGACATGTCCCCGGGCTTACCGATTTCCCCATTCTCAAACACGTAGGTTATCTCACCGTTCCCTTCTCGTTCCACATTCTCTCCTATCCAACGTAACATGCTGATGCTTGGGCCGGTGAATGAGTTTGCCGTGATAGAACTTATGAATTGGATGGGACTTGGGACTGTGGGGACAAGGTTAGGACAAGGTGGTGCTTCCGTGGGGGGAGTACCCTACTGTATTGGCGCAAAACATATTCGCCATCCATGCTCTGCAGAACCAGGTGCACCCCGTTGGACGGGAAAAAAGGTACCAACAACAGCTTGGACCCCTTGAACAGCCCTTTGATATTCTTCTTTTCAGATGTGATATCCCCCTTCAGCCGTACCGAAAATTCCTTGCTCACAACATCCGCGATATTCATTTCAAATATGGCATCATCTTCAAGATCATCCTCCAGTGCCAACGTATTATCCCCCGACAACTCTACCGATTTCTTAAACAGTAACAGCGCCTTCTCTGCCTCGACCACCGCCGTGCTCCTGGTCTGTGATCGCAGGAAGCTACCCCGATTCCTCCCCTTGTCCGTAAATACCAGTCGCACTTTAGTCTGAATTGGTCTCGTTGATTGATCGCCATCACAGGTCCTCACTCGCACATTTGAGAGCGTTATGGATGCAGAGTGTTTATAGGACGAGAATACCGGACTGAAGTTTTTCCCTGTTGAGCGTAAGCAACCGAGAAAGGACTCGAAGGCGGTGAGCAATACCCATGTCCAGGATAGTCCTTTCCTTCCGTTGTCCGAACCGCAAGGTTACCCTAGCGAACCTTAAAAAGGGGTCATCCTTAAAGGGGATGGTCTCGGGAGAACTGGATGCCCAGATAGCCGACTTCGGTGCTGACTTGTATGTAGCGAAGCCAATTCGGTCAACGTCTTCATCTAACCGTTTCCATGAGCCGTCCAGATTAACCTCGAATTTCACGGATACCCGGCGAAGGTATGGGGTTTGCTTCCTAGGCCGTCTTAGATTCCCACCCCTTCTTCATCCGGGCGAGGAGGCTTACGAGCAATTAGAAATGAGATACAGGCGCTCCTTTGACGCCACACCGCTGTCGAAACCAATACCAAAGGGTCTGGCGCGGTCCTCCCTCGGGCCCTGAAGAAAACGCTTTGCCGCAACACCATTGAGAGCAGCAACGTATGATGCGAAGTGAACATCCTTCGCTGCACATTATTAGACCCCGGGGCTGTCTTGTTGGACCGAGGTAGGCGGGGGTAAATACCTTCATCCGAGAATTTAATCCGAACGTAATGAGCATCGGCTCCAGTCTCGGGATTACAACAGACATCGTAGATCTTCCAAGAGTACTCCCTCTTCATATCCCGTACGCATCTGGTCGATATTGTGCCTGAACCCAAAGATCAACACTTGCCACTCAAGATGGTAAATTCTCCGCTGAGCCAACCCACTTCGGAAATTTGCGCAACGTTTCTTCCCTGCCACCGTTGTTAGCAGGCCAGCAACCTTTCCCCATAATTTGCCATGGCTTGAACAACTCACCCCACGCACCCTCTGAACCCCCCATCGGCCTCACAAAAATTGCACCCGGAGTGAATAATTCTTCCGGTGCGATCTTAACCCTTGTTTCCCTTCCTCGACATCCGCCTTGCTCGCTCCTCGGTAGACTCCATGTCATGTAATCTAGATCACTGTGCCCACCACAGTTAGCCCGAAGAACCGAATCTGCAAAAAGAGCTCCATACAGTTCGCCCATTGAGTCCCACCCCACCGGTAGCGCCATACCACCAAGCCTTTCCGTAGAGAAGCGTCAAGACGAGAAGTGGTTATAAAGTTGAAAAAAGAAAAAAAATGAAAATGACAACAGGAAAATGAAATGAAATGAATGAATGAATTCCAGATCCAAGTCCTCCCAGAGGAAAGCCCGTGCTATTGCGGGTGGTGAAGGAGAAACGGAAACGACAAAGGGAAAAGTAACGAACGAGAACAGCAGTCCCGAACAGTTAGAGGCAGTAGTGAGGCGGGAAAAAAAGACAACCAGGGTGCGAGTAGATATATAAGAGAGAAAAGGGAAAGAAAAAGGAAAGGAGGGAACTAGCGGGAAGGAATATCATGGATTCATGGGTCTCGAGGATGGTACAAGTAGCTAACTGCGCCTCGGAAAGGGAAGGAATTAAAAAAGAAAAAGAAAAAAATGGGTGGATCTATACAGAGGTCAAATATACCTACTTAAGGAAGGCCAGCCCTGTTAGATCCTCAGCTTTCGACGATGAATGGCTCCGAGCTTATTGTCCGACAGATTGTTTTGGCCGTCACCCGCACAACCCCCGAAATAAGTATCGCGAGCAGATTGGCGAATCAGACGTTGTTTCGAAACCTTACCTTATCGTTGCACCACTATTTTTCCGAAGCACCGCTGATCCTATTTCCTGACCAGTGCCTGCATTTCAGCAATCGTGGCCGGTAGACCACTCATGTACGAGCGCAGTCCAGACTCTAGACTATCCAGACACCTCTTTTTCTTCTTTTTCCTCCTTTTTTCTTTTTTGTTCTAAGTAAAGGTTTTGAAACAGCTAGGACCGAAGGTGGATCCGAGGGATTGTTCCTATTTCTCATTCTCCCCCAATTCCGAGAAAGCCAACTGCCGTAACCTACTAAGTACGACAAAGAGGAGGAACCTGGGTGCCCACCACTGAAAACACTCCCGTAGGCGCTTCAACTCACGGCGTCAACTGGCTACAAGGTAGAGAACCAGGGATCACTATCGATAAGGACGTTTCATCCAGAGACCCGGGGTATCGCAGTGTTGGCGGTGGCGACAGGCCTCCTCTCTCCCCTTTCCCGTCACCGCGTCAGGGGAATGGAACACCAATACTCGAATACAATAAATAAGCATAGCCTCGTCCTCATTCGGGATGAAACCAACGAATGAAAGAGGACGCATTCTCAAGAAGAGATGGGAGGGAAACTGGAGGACTACACACCACCAGTACGGTATGATGGTTTGAGGAGTAGGCCCACAACGAGATCATCAGCGATCCATCTCCAGTCATCTGCGATTGAAATCAGAAGCACGCTGAGGGCCGAGGCATCTCCGTTCCGCAACCATGTAAACCTGAAACCAACCATCACACCAGTCCAGCATGAGAAGAGTTCGCCAAGCCAAGCCGCACAAAGTCGGCTACGGTATGATAGCATGAATGTGTTGAACGCTTGGTTCGTATGATAGGGTACTGGTACGGTAGATAAACAAAGCTTCAACAGGCCGTGCAGAGCTGCTGCCTTATGGGAGAATTCCCAATCAATGGCTTTGCTGAAGACACGCCGCCAGAGCCAGAGGATGATCCGATAGGATTGGTTCCGAAGCCAGCAACGAGTGTCTGATACTGCACTGCATCAGAAAGCGCAAGGAAACGAAGGGCGGGGAGAGCAGGAGGAAGAGGTTTCGAAACGTGCAGATATGCATCGGATGCATCACATTTGTCAGTGCCATACCGAGCCACCCCACCATAGACTAAGCGCCTGCGGATCTTTAAACGGTCCGATACCTTGATACCTACCCAGCAATTCCCTATCAATCCCCGAAGCAGGTACGAGCAAGTACTCGAGTACAGTACGCTGGAAACAAATACAGTAGTGCAATACATCATACCTCCTGCACCGAGGTTTCAAGCCGGCACAGGGATCCTCAAATTCTAGAGGGTTAGGGTTACACCATGATGAGGTCAGGGCATTAGCAAGGAAGCAGAGGCTGCCGTATTGTATGATAGCATACTGGATCATCCACCTCGGTGCCGTAAGGTTTGGAATACCGTAAGGGGTTCCAGCCGAGAGGGAAACCACAGTGATTCCCCCCGATCCTCGAGCCACCGGTGCTACCATTCTGGTGACGAACGAGTAAGATGTGCCAACACCAGTATACCGGTAGTGAATCATAGCTCGGACGTACCGCAATGTACGAAGACACGAGCATCCATACACGGCACGAGGGGCATCAAAGCCAAACCACCAAACAAGCCAACGGCCCCCAATGCCCTCTACTCGTACAGAGCTCTTGGTACCGGTATCATAATATATTAACAAGCAACAGCTGTGCGCATCAGGCCACAGTGGATACCAACAATCAAGGTCAAGGGACAACTCGATCTCCTGCTCCCCTAGTCATACGGGTCCTGGGAAACTCCTTCCCTCCTCCCCTTTTCGATTTGGTTACACGCAGGAGTGACGGTTTTACTGTACGAAGCCCGATTCATACCCCAGCCCCTTGTGCGATGGAGAGAGGGGGGAAACAGCCAATAAATGCTTATTCCCAAAAAAGGTATTCCATAATGTTAAAGTACAGTACGGTACTAGTACAGGTAAATTGACGTGATTCATGCCAATATATCGGCACTACCCTGGCAGACTGCCGGCACGATACGGTACCCGTACCGTCAAGCCAGCGCAAGATCAGCTCAACGCATAAAGTTCAATTTTAAACCTTTCCCTGAACGCTTAATTGCACTCGAGTAATGCGTTAGCAATCCCAGCCGACCCCAAGAGTGAGAAGAGAGGCTTGGACGCTCAGGGCCCAAGGCAACCGCGCCGTCGCTCGCCCAAGCGAGCATCATAGCGTACATACCAGTACGAGTACAGAACGGGTACTCCTGCTTGTAGAGTACAAGCACGTGTTCTACGCTTATGATGATACCCCGTGTCACAGGCGTCGGTGGGACGTGTCTTCTCAAGGTGCTTGTACCGTATGATACGAGTATGGAGGAGCAACCATAGTCTCCACTTTCCCCTAAGCCGTTACATAGGCCCTTGTACTAGTACTCGTACTCACTCGACCCGTCCACCCTGTTCCGTCCCTGGCAGTCAGCTGACTAACCCGAGGCTCGTGAGCAACAAATACCGGCGCCGGTATTACCGCATTCAACAAGCGAGACCACCACTCTGGCCGTGTTGGCACGGCAATGTATAACAGAGTCGCTATACTCGAGTATGATAGCGGTACCCCCTAAGGACCCAGGAAACACCCCTGTAACCGTTGTGGATCCCCATATGATCACTGTGAACTGTGGTCTCCCACATATAGCCACCATCGCTTCCATCCTCAATGGTCATCGCATCCCTCGCATCACACGTTCACTACTCCTCACTCGTGATCGCCATCGGGAGTTTGACTTCTTGGCGATGGGTGAGATCTCTCTATCTGGCCACAGCCGACCTGCCAGCGGAGGTGAATCGCTCGGCGGGGAAAGTCACCGGAATCGTAATATCCATCTCGTTCCCGGGACAGCCTCGCTCGCCAGAACCGGTGTTATTCTCTCGTCGTCATCGTCGTCTCCCCATTTTCCCCGCATTCGGTGAGCCTAAAGTTTGGTAACGAAACTGAGCCCCTATCGCTCTTGCAATGTGCCATATCGCAGATATTATTTAGGAAACCACGGGGGCACAATGGGGCGATGACAGCGTGAACGAGTGGGATACCGGTGTCGTGCTGGTATTGTACGAGTGTAGCACCGGTGTCATGGCTCCAGAGAATCGGCCAACCTGGGTTGGGAACATCACGGCCAATTGCGCACCAAATTACTCGTGTAGATCTGCATCCGAGCACGAGCTCCACACGGCACGACCAAATTTCTGGACTGTACCCGAGTACAAAATACCGGTAACTTGACTCGCCATGCCAGCCTTTTTTTTTTTTTTTTTCCCTTACGGTAGCGGTACCTGTGTACTCGAGTAGTACCTTACGCTCCAATTTGAACATGACCCTATTCCCACAAAAAGCATGGATGACAGGGGCCAGTGATGATCAGCTCCTACTCCTACAATACTGTACTGCACTTATCCCTTGGGGCGGGCTGGTGGACCGCAGATAGCTCGGACAACTTTAATTACTAGCAACGAATGATATGAGCGACAGCAGGTTATCGTGTCGTGCGGATCTCGACTGGTTCATCTCTGATTCATAGGTGCACTTGTAACTCTCCCCCCGCTGGCCATGGCTGAATCGTACTTGTAGTTACTCTAGGAGCATTGAAGAGTCTAGCACTCATAGTACTTTTTACCAGGAACCCCTTTTTCCAAGGGTCCTTTCCTCCTCCTTCTCTTCCCCTCCTTCCTTCCTGCCCCCTCCGAGAAAAATTCTACCCCGTTTCCAAGGCTGAAGACAAGAGGAGAGCGAAAGGAAAAAAGGAAAAAGGGAGAGAAAGGTTCGAGGCTAATACCGTACCCTCCTGACTGAACTGAAAGACTCACCTCGGCGTCAGTCGCGAACGTGACGACTCGGTAGGTTACTCCTCCCTATTTCACGTTTCCAACTACTCGTATATCTATCACCCTTCCATCCATCCTCTACCCGCTTGCGGAGGACAATTTTTCTCCCCTTTCCCTCTCTTGTCCTTCTTGCTTTACCCATCCTATAGTTCTGAGTCCTTTTTATCGCAAGCAGCCGGCGGGTACCGTTGACAACAACCAGAGCGGGGTGCAGGACAACATTCTGACGTTTTCAGCTCGCTTCCTCCTATCTGTTTTTTTTTTCTTCGGGGGGGGGATAACGTCTTTGTATAAGACGTGCACTGTCCTCACCTTCCCAACGCACAATTCAATCTCCATACCGGAAGAATCCCTGAACATCCAATAATTCAATATGTCGGATAACGAAGATTCCAAGCAGTTTGCCAAGGAAAGGCCGATATCGTATGTGTACCACCCCATTCGGGGAAGGCAGAAGCGGGGAGGGAGAAGGAGGAAGGATTGGATTCCTCTAACAAGTGATGCTATAGGACCATCGCGCGGTCCTTCTCAGCGCAGCTGAACGACGCGTTCCTAATTGATGACACATTGGACCAGTTGTCCACCACGGTCGAGCAAAAGTATTTCTCCCCTCCCAGCCAACCAATCGCCATCACCCCCTGCGTACCACAAGATCCTAACCTTGCTCCGCACAAAATAGGAAGCTCTCGGTGACCTTCCACTCAAAAGAACTGGAGGAGTTGGAAGCGCGGATTCGCCGCGCCGAAGCTCTCCTGGAGGAGAAGAAGAAACGCTTCTCCCAGCAGCTGCCCGGTGAGAAACTCCCCGATCCGTCGGTCCCCGGCACACACCGCGACGGGCAGCCGGTGCCAAACTGCGGCCAGCCGGAAAGCTCGCAGGCTGCGGCTGTCCCACCAAGCAGACCTGCTCCTGCCCCGCCGGTTGCCAGCGGTGGCAGCGCCGAGCCTGGATTCGTTGTGATTGAGAAATCGGCCAGCATGCCTGGCGAGTCGGGGAATCTCCCCCCAGGTGCGACTCCTGGAGCTGGACAACCGGAGAGGAGGTTCGGTGAGCAATATGCCGCGAGACCACCGCCGCCTGTTCCGACTTGACCATTCTTTATTGTCATTCTATGCTGTAGGGGGCTTTTGCTGGGTTGTATAGGGAAGGGGTGGTAGGGCTCGTCATGGGTTTGGGTGTTATTGCTCGTTTTTTTTCTTTTTTTTTTTCTTCCTATTTACTTCCCATTATTTTCTAATATCTTCCCTTTTACCTCATCCTATTCGGATGCTCTACGAATCTATGGCACTTGCCTCGTTCATAGGAACGGGTAGGAGAGCTCTTCCCAAACAAATATATAGGGAACGTACCCACCAGCGTGACGCATGTGATGTGTTATTCTAGATTCAATACCTTTTCCATACAAGCTTTAGCTTAGCGTTGCTTATCTCACCTCTTTTTTCTTTCTTCTCTTTTTTTCCTTTTTCTCTTCCCTCCTTTTCTTTTGAGGATGGCTACCCGTTTCCCAAACCTCTCTCTATCAGATATCGGCACAGGGCCTGAATAGACTTGACATGACGAACAATAAATATCACGAGATTCAAATGTTGGAGGCGGCTTCCGAAGAAGGCTTTAGCTTGACGCATACCCATTATCTATCTAGTTTCTATCTTATATGTAGGACAAGTGAGATTTCCCACCGATCAAGCCCAGAGAAAGGAAGTGTCGGAACTATGCATAAAATGTCCACTTCTCTCTTCTCCCTCTCTAATAGAAAAAACTCACGCAGCTTCCATCAAAGGGAAAGGCGTGGAGGACGGGGAGAAAATAGACGCAGGGTATGAAAGGCACCGAGAACGAGTGCCGAAAAGCAAACAAACGGAACATGTACATGTATACTTCTACACTTCGCTCGAACACATGACATGTTTTCATTCGGACCCAGGTCAGCGCGCTTCCCACAGCATCATGAGATGCCATGGACCATTACATGTTCTTTAAGGTTTCTTTCGCCCGCACCCCGGCAGTCCACTGTTTTCCCAAGAGAAAAAAAACACGGGCTAAGGATGCCTCATTCTTTCATCTTCCCCCTCACATCAAAAACCTTTTTTTCAAGAAAAAACCTTTTTGCGAGAGGAAGGAAGAAGGAAAAGAGGGGCAGCAATGGTCGGTGCGGTGGGTCTTAGCGGGTGGGCGCTGACCTGGGTCCGAGCGAACATGTAGAGGCCAGAACGGTGTTTGACATTTCATTTGCTCGGGGAGGAGGGAGGTGGGGAGGTGGGGAGAGGAGGTTGTGTTGTCTGGTGGTCTGTTGACGAGGAGAAGGAGAATCCAGTAAGTTAGACAAGGAACAAGTATGGAGGGTCAAGATGAGGGGACGATAACAGGGGATAAGCGGGTTGATAAAGAGAGGGGAAACGAGAGGAGGTGGGGAGAGTCTGTGAAACAGCGATCGAGGGGCGAAGGGGGAGAAAGGATGAAGAGCAGATAGTCTAGCGTCCGAGGGCAAAGGAAAGGAAAAGAAGGTGAGAGCCGACAGAATGCGGATATTGGTCAGTCATTTGCTAAGCATGCAGAACCGAAGCCCTGGATTGAGCACTGACATTTAGGCTCTGGATTCAACAGTCACTTCATCCATGGCTTGGCATTCCCACAGACCCGCGAAGATTATTCTCGTCACCAATTTCCCCTACCAACTGGAGGAAACTTTTCGTTCAACTACAGTCTTGACAACCAGCCATCGATAACCACCGGCAATTCAGCAAAAATGGTGGGTTGTACTCGTTTCAATTCAAATTCATCCATCACTCAAGTTTGGCAGACTGATCATTTTCATAGCCTTTCACCAAAACCGTCAAGTCCAGCGCCTACTACTCCCGCTACCAGACCAAGTACCGCCGTAGGCGTGAGGGAAAAACCGATTACTATGCTCGCAAGAGACTGATTACCCAGGCGAAGAACAAGTACAATGCGCCCAAATACCGTCTCGTTGTCCGCTTCACCAACCGTGATGTATGTCCCCGATCAGCTTTCGTTTGAAGAGCCCTGAACCTCGATCATTCGTTTTTATTTCCGGTGTCGCTGGAGTAGACAGAAACGTCTTCCCTCCACGCATCGAGCACGTTGATAACGTGATGAAAAATGAATGGAGGTGGGCTAATTGCTTCTGCTTTGCGCTACAGATTATCACCCAGATCGTCTACTCCGAGATTGCCGGAGACAAGGTTTTCTGCTCCGCCTACGCTCACGAACTCCCCCGCTACGGAATCAAGCACGGTCTTACCAATTGGGCTGCCGCGTATGCTACCGGTCTTCTCTTGGCCCGTCGCACCCTTGTTAAGCTTGGTCTTGATGAGCACTTTGAGGGCGTTGCTGAGCCTAACGGTGAATTCAAGTTGACCGAAGAGGCCGATATCGAGGGAGAGCCTAGACGTCCATTCAAGGCTTTCTTGGATGTTGGTTTGAAGAAGACTACCACTGGTGCTAGAGTTTTCGGTGCCATGAAGGGTGCTTCTGACGGCGGTCTTTACATTCCCCACTCTGAGAGCAGATTCCCTGGTTACGATATCGAGACCAAGGAATTGGATTCTGATACTCTGAGGAGGTAAGCCTTAGACTAGCATGGAGTTTACTACACTCCACTAACAAGCTATTAGGTACATTTTCGGCGGTCATGTCGCCGAGTACATGGAGACTCTTGCTGACGATGATGAGGAACGCTACAAGTCCCAGTTCCAGCAATACCTTGATGACGGTGTTGAGGGTATTTACTCCCTTTTCCGCTATTCTCCCCAGCTGTGCTAACGATCCAATAGCTGATGGTCTCGAGGACCTTTATACCGACGCTCATGCCAAGATCCGTGAGGACCCCAACCTTGAGGACCCCGACAAGGACACCAGGGGCAAGGAATACTGGAAGGCCCAGAGCGAGAAGTACCGCCTCAAGAAAATCTCGCGCGAGGATAAGAGGGCCAACGTTCAGAAGAGGATTGCAGAATTACGAAAGTAGTTCTTGGGTTTTAGGGGTTTCTGTCTTTCCTTTTTTCTTTTTCTCTGTCTTCTGGCCACAGGCGCTTGTTGTATTCTTGACTAAAAATTTCAGAGAATGGGATTGGGGCGGACTTTATCAATGTCACGGCAAAATTTAAAAAAATGGTGTCATTTCTTTTAGGAGGGGTGTTTCCTCTACATTCCTCTTTGGTGTGGACGTGAATTGTTTATATCTGACCACCGGGCGCTGCCACTGGGGCTCGGAGTTGTCGTTTGAATGCCCAGGTGAGGTGGTGTTTGAGAATGTGATACCGTTTTTCGGACGCCACGGGGTGGGTAGCTCGCGCTGCTCGTGTGGAAGGAAGTGCTAGGATATTGGATTTATTGCGACAATAAAGTTGGGATCCGAGTGATTAACGATGAGAAGGCCACGCCACAAAGCTCGTGGGTGTGATTGTCACGAAATTACGCTTTAAGTTAGCCCTTCCGATAATCCCACAATATAGTAACCCACTTGTAATAGTGGTCACCCACAACCTCAAAATCAACGGAACCTGGCAACACAATAGAGGTCCAATCCGTGATCCACATTGTAATCCGCCCAAACTCCCGTGCCAAACATCCCTCAGCGAACCAGGAAGAACTCCACATACCAGAAATCCCTATCCGGAACACTCCAAATAACTCACCCACGAACCCAATCCTTAGCCCCCACCTTGCCGAGGCGTTCCCGAAAGCTACTTCGGACGGCAAAACCGGTAGCTAACGAAAAGGGACACGCCGTGGGATGTTATCAATACTATGGAATGCGGATCTGGCACCCAAGGACAGTAAACGGGGGTGCGGGAGGGGGCAGAGGTATGCCGAAGGGGATTCGTATTAGAGTACGGGAGCGAACGGGACACGGGGATGGATGGAAAGGCCGGCATCGCATAAACCGAAGGCGATGCCGCGGTTATCAGGGCAGGGCCAGTCACGCTTCATTCGTTATGGTGCCTGTGCGCACCGCCTACGAGGTTCTCCCGTGCAGTGCGATGCGTAGGATATCGTTCTCTCCCAGACATCTTTGAATTCTACCAACGCTGCACGTCCCCTGCGTCTGTCTATTGAGTAGACCGACGGGGAAGGGGGTTCGGTATCATGTGAAGTATCTTGCAGGGCTGAGTTATTGCACCATTGATTGGTGGGATGGGTGGGTGAATCGGAGATTTGTTTCAAACGAGTGAGGGGCTATGATTGCAGCGCGAGATGGTGGTATGATAATATGCACGGGGTGACGTACTGAGCTGTACAACTCATGATGCCGCTGCGGACAGGGGGCATGCTGGTATGGGTTATCGCGGATGGTGGGTGGGAGTTTTACTAAGATACTGCGGTTATTCTATTTTTTTTTTTGGGGGGGGGGGGTGTTGGATTTCTGTCTATGGTGTTTGGAAAGAGAAGTGTGGTGTACTCGAGTAGTAAATCGTGGAGAACAAGAGAAGAGGTATGATATGATACGGCAATGGTGAGAATGAGCTAATGAACAAGTAAACATCCAGGCTCAATGCGTCTTAGCCTTGATTACCTCCTCCACCTCCTTATCAAATCTTGTAAACACTCCGAACCCTTCGAGAGAGCCAGACATCATCCACAGCCACCAAACCTTGGAGAAAGTTTCGACCTGGTGCTTACGCAGTCGGGTCCTTTGTAGATGTATGCACTCAGCTAGGTGAATCGCGACGATGCTGACAAGACCAATCAGATGGGTCTTCATAAGCAAATCCGCCAGTGGGTGGTAATTTTGCAAGAGGTAGCTATCGAAATCAGCCCGATCCACCACTGTTCGCCAACCCGGAAGTAAAGTGGGGGATAACAAACACTCGGACAAAAGACCCCTCCGCCAAATTTCCCTTCGCCGCGAACGCCCATGTACCCACCAACACGCTCACCATCACCACGACGCCGACAATTCCGGGCGGTGCGTAAGTCTTGATCACGTATGGACTCAGTCCCAACCCGGTCAGGCATTCGTTCGCCATGTAGACTAGTCGTTCCCTCGATTCCGACAGGTTCTGCATGGGCGAGGGGCGGATGGGGAGGTACGTTGTCTCAGTCCCCGTAGACGAGGAGCGGGTCGAGAGGGTGATGCGCGAGAGCGAGATGTTGGTGAGCTCGGCTGTGTCTGCAATTGCCGGGGGGAGTTTTGAGTAGTGTTGGAGGTAGTGGCTTAAGGATTTCTTGTGGTCCTTGTTCATGTGTGCTATGACGCGGGCCTTGAGAGCGGCGTCGTCGGTGGATTTCTCGGCCATGGTTGTGGGTGTTACCGTGTCTACTGTTTGATAGGGTGATTATGAAGGTGGAGAGGAAAGGTTGAGGGAGGGAGGGTGGGTGGATGAAGGGAGAGGATGCCTGGTCCTACAGTGCCGGTATATTACATCCCTTCAACGGGGGCATGGCGAAAAGCGGAGGATGAGGGAAAGGGATCGGCATCATATGATAACCGAGTGCTTGTTTTGTTACCCTGCTTTGACGGATTTGCTTTGATGCCTGTAGCCTGCTACCGTATCATACTTGTGCCTGTATGATGCCCAGCTCGTCACCCGTCGGTTTTCGTGGTGTCACCCTTGGAAGGGGCAGGGTTGATTGAGAAGGGTGAACCTTGGGGTTAGGTATGCAACGTGATACCCGTTATCGTATCAGATGCGAGGAGGGTCACGTGAGATGAGTGATTTGACGCTCTTGTCCTTGTTCGCGCAGTGTCAGGTTTCCATGGCTGGGGCATTGAGCGTGCATTTCATTCTGCATCTTGATTCTTGAAGCCGTGCCGTTGGCGGTGTCTCGGCCGGGGTCCGGCACCCCATCTGTCCTAGCCCGTGGCACCAGTTCTATTCTGCCAAAGGGGTATCATATTTATTGATACAAGTAGCGTGGAACGGGTGCCGAGGCCTAACTTCCGTATTGGGGGAACAGTTGGTGATTGGAGTTGCCACAAGTTTACTCAAGCATAGGCGGATTGCGGCATACTATGCTGTTTTCCTGTCAAGAGTTAGACCCTCATACCTGTGCTCGCTCCAATCTACGAGTATTGCCCCTTCAGCAGGGAACAAGTTGTGCCGCCCGTTAGGACAAATGGGGTGCCAAATCTAGGATGAGACGCACGAGTACGGAGATAGCACCTAAATTTTTGTATATTTTTACTAGCCAAGGGGTGCTCGGCTCGGGGGGACGGGTCCGCAAATTGGGTAATTTTCAGAGAAAGTTACTCGATCCGTGACCAAAACTACTCAATTCGTGGCTTTTACCCCTGGTCGCCGCGCAGCCCCTTGGCTACGGTAGTAAAATATACAAACCGTAGGTGCTGTACCTCCGTGGATCGCCGTTCTACTTCCTCTCAATCCATCTACCGCTATGATATCGCTCTGCGGGGGCCCGCCTCCAGGGTGTGGCATTGGGGAAGTGCAGAGTGACTTTATCTGATGTTGCCTTAGCTTACACAGGGAGATATGGCTGATTCGTGCGATAATGGGCTGAGAATGTGGGCTTGGGGTGGGTGTAAGTACTTGTATCCTACGAGCATTGTACCAATACTCAAGTACAAGTAGATAGTAACCTATCCATGTGATATCTGCATGAGATTCTGTATAATGGGTTAGGAATTGTGGAACGCCCAGTTGCGGCAGTTGCTGTGGAACTTCTATACAGCTAGGTTTTCCTTTCTCTCTTTCGAGCTCCACTCTAGGAGTCTGAAAGTTTCCAGAAGGATACGATTTGGAAGTGTTACCTAAGGGGCCTTTGCTCTCCCAATTCTGGCCTAGTTTCTGCTGCGTGCATCTTTACCGTCGTGGTCTACAGCCACAAGCCGATATCCGATCGAACTGGAAGCCATATGAACGGGAAGCATCATAGCAGAAATCCAGCCATTAAGAGGACGATTCTGAATTAGATATGGAACCCTTGCATCCACGCTAGGCCACATCTTCTTTGCCAGACAGATCTAGATAACTTGGTATTTACTGAATGGACTTGGGTGCTCTTCTTTCTCCTGCTCCCGCTTCAGCAAACCGCCATGCAATAATGTGCTGCATACCACACCCAAACATGTGAGTGGGCCCTTTTCCTACAGTTGGGGGTTCAGTGTCTATTCCTGGTTGCTAATAGTGCTTTAGTTATGGTAGCGCGAGCCCTTTCAGCGCTACAGGTGTGTCGTTTCCTGGTATCGGCGAAGACCATAGGTGAGATCCCCCGTTCACCATCGGGATGGAATTGCTTTGAGGTATTTAGATGTGGAACATGGCAGGCGCACTACGAGCGAGGGTGGTACCTCTCGTAGAGAGGAGGGCGGTGGATTGTGTCGATGGGTTAGATATTGGGAGTTCGTTCTTGTTTGGGGATCGATTGCTGCCAAGTTGATGGGATGACCGACATTTGGGGAGGAAACGTCGGACTAAGGAGTAATGACTACGCGGAATTTTGTTTCTTCTCATGATGCTTACTAGGCGCCTAGGTCGGTCGGTTTTGTCGTCAGTAATACATTAGGCAGCGGAGTGCTGCGCCGGGGCTGCAGTGGCAATACTGGTAGTGGGGGCCGTCGGCTAGTTCTGGCTTCCATCGTCGCATGTATCGTGGTATCTTGTACTACAGAGGAGCTTCCTTCATACTCATGATCTGGGCAGTGTTATAAGGTTAGAGTTGCCGCCCTACCCGGCTTACGCTCCAGTGCCCACTCCGGAACCGGCGAACTGCACCTGATCCTTAAGGCCGTTGGACGAATATAGATTCTTAGGAGTCTCTGATTTACGGCGGGGGGGGGGGGGGGCGGCGGGTGATCGGACGCACAAGCATCCGGAGACCGGACCTTCACTACCCCCCGAAACCCTTGAGATCCGCCGTCAAGTTACTTGTAGTGGAAATCCACTCATCCGTCCCCGATAGGTTTGGTCGGACAAGTTAGTAGAATTGCGAAAACCGGTCAACGAGATCGAGCGCATTTAGGGAGGCTATCATTATTCCATGCCGTGAAAGGAAAACGCTAATCTTTCTCAGGATCTCTTAGCTCTGAATCCGGGGATCACGGGGTAGGCGGAGATGGCGGATTTCAAGAGCTTTTGTTGTACCTCGTAGGATGTACTGTACAGTACAAGAATGAATTGGCATGGCAATTTCTCAAACGGGCAGGAAGGTTTGATAAACCTTCCAACGCCTGAGTGCCCAATCAATCACATTCGTCACATCTGAGTGCTGGCACTCGGAACGGAAGCGATTAGCGTGGAAACACAGCCCTGGCAAGATAGGGTGCTCTTCCAGATCCGGCTCCTCTCACCTCTATCCCTACCTATTATTATCGGAATACGGGAATGTTTTGCAATACCCATCTCCACCCTCGGGTCCCTTAGGATCGCAACCCCGGATCGTCGGCGTGGTGTTCATCGGGGTACCCACAATCGACTTCGTTAGTCGTCCCATGAGACGAGCTCCATAGAAGTAATTTGCTGCGACATGTGTTTCTGGGGGGATTGAGGTTGGATATAGGGACCGAATGACTCGGTCGAGTGGTTTATAGCACGGCACTAGCATCGCGCTTTTGTTGTTGGGTCATGATACAATAGTTGCTTAGACAGGCAGGGATACCCTAACTTGGGAGTCTACCCGAACATACCCTACTACCCGTAGTGTGGAAACAACGGGAACGATGGTAGTCTTCCATGCGATCACCTTGCTGTAATCAAACGGTTGGCAGTATCATAGTTGGGTTGCCCTCTAGAGGTACCGGGGTTGTCACGGCTTGGGTAGCATCTGTCCCGAGTACCCCTGGGGGATTGGTCATCGCCTAAGCATTATGCTAAAATTGTTGGTCCAAAAGGGGCGCTTAGAATGGATCTTGCATGGGAAGGCTTTGGAATACCAGAGGGTTGAATAGTATAGTTGAGATCGCAGTGGACTAGATGCCAAAGCCGTCCCAATTGAGCTCACACCAGGGGTCCCAATACATGTTGTGCTTCCATTATCCTCACAACCCGTTCGGCAACATCGTACCAGCACTTGTGGCACAGGTATGATGGCTTTCTACTAACTTGCTCCCTGTGGGGTGAGGTGGCTTTACAAGGGTAGTCGAACGCTACCACATCATGGACCTCTTTTCAGGGAAAAGAGAAGCCTATCGCGAGAGAAGAACCCACGAGGTCGAGTGCCCAATGCAAAGCTCCTCGCTATAGTGAAACAAAAAGTGGAGAACACGCTGTCACGGGTTTGTAGCAGGTTTTCGTGCTCTAACCCCCCTATACAAGTTCAATCCACCTAATGAAAGATACCCTAAAAGATACCCTAAAAGATACTCCACAAGTGCCAAACCTTCTAGTGGAGATCTATCAGAGTGAAATTTACAGTATTAGGCTGAACTTTTGAGTGCATTGTGTCCTGTGAAACCATCCATCCATCCCTCCGACCGCACTGTACGAGTATCATACGGTACTTGGGGGTAAAATGTGTGTATCTACCACTAGGGTGTCTACCTGACTTCTCGGCAACAAGTGCGGTATGGTCAAGGTTCAAGGTGGAAGTGGGGTAAGGTCTGGTCGGTCATGTTTATCACATGCTAGGCCACTTTCGTATCCCCACCACTCTTATATTAACCACAAATCTCAAATACGCACCGTGCGCCACAGAAGTAGTAGGGAGCGACTGTTAGCGATGCTCGAGCGGTGGGCGCTGGAGGGGGGGGACTTTTTTCTTTTTGGCTTTACCATTGTTGCACGCGATACAGATGTTGAAAGGGTAGCGGTATGAGTACAGCATGCATTCAGTTCACCCAATCGTACTCGTTCATTCGCCATGGCTGCCGAATTCCTGGGATAGGAGGCATTGGTAGTGGCCGTACATCAATTGTGCCCCTCAATCAAAACCTGCCTTCCACTCGGAGCTCTTGGAGCATACGGGCATCCCGAATTACCAGGATTTTGGAAAAAAACCCTTGACGGTGATTCCTCTCTTAATTTTGTAAGGGGGAGCTCTTCGTGGAGTCTCTGATTCCTTTTGTATTTCCTTCGTTTTGCTGGCGGGGTTAATAACAATTACCGTACTAAAATCTGGTTGGCGTGGACTATTCTATCGGGGTTTACTGTACAGCACAACATCTTCTATTCCATCTTCAACAAGAACGGCAATCACGAGATTCTTCATAACCTTGGGTGAAAACAATAACCATATTGTGGATCAGTAATAGCCTAATATTTAAATATCTTCGGCAGAGGAATCCGCATTTTATGCCTTCCCAAGAAGGCGCCATCCCCAATTTAGAAATGGCGGACCGGGTTGGTAGGAGGGGCGCATGATTTGGTTGTCTGTGGATACCGGTATACTATTGAGTTTCAAATTGAGGGCCAAGAAGCGGGAGAGGGCTATAGTATCTCCAATACTGGGTTATGGCGTGGTGTAGGGTTTCCTTACCGCATTGTGTCTCTATCGGAGATTTCAACCCTTCACTGAGCCACTGCAAATGTTGGCTAGGATAAGATTTCCCATTTGTCCTTTCCCTCCTCGAGTTAAGTAAGAGTGCTACCTACCATGAAATATGTGTTCGGGCAAATCCAGTTCTTGGGAATTTCCATCTGTCTAGCATCGCGTTCTATGGGTGTATCATGCGCACGCACACCGCACCTTGATGGTCTACCCCCCGCCGTCCTTCCCTACCCCCCACTTTCCTTCTCAACCTCTCACCGCAAACTGGGCAAACCTTCCTCTTCCCTTACCTTCCCATCAATCCTCGTTCTCGATCTTCACGGAATATTTTGGGGAAAATTATCTCAGCTACATCCATCAATTAATACACCATGGGTCTTGGAATCTATGAAGTCGCACCTGCCAGACATGTTCCTGGAACAGCAAGGCTTTACGAAGACGAGAGCACAGTAGAGGCTCCGAGCAGAACGAGTCATCTCAGACACGGGACTGGAAAAGATTCCCAGCTTCTACTTGTTCCTCAACCATCGAATTCGCCCAATGACCCTTTGGTTAGTCTTATTTAATTTTTCTTAGGAGGTCTTTCTGCGGTTGGCAATTTTGGACCGATTGGGCTAACGCCTGTAACAGAATTGGCCATTGTGGAAGAAGGATCTTACCCTCTTCATTCTATGTATTACCGCCTGCATCGGTGAGTTTCCCTGAATAACCATCCCCAAGGCGAAGTGGTTTCTGAATCAATTAAAGCTGCTGTTCTTGGCCCCGCCATTGCGCCAATCAACAAAATGCTGGTCGACGAATTCAAAACTACCTATCACGTTACTGCAAAGTTTGCTGGTTGGCAGTTTTGGCCTGCTGGAATTGCTGGACTCTTTGGATCTGCGGTTGGACGGGTCTGGGGTAAACGTCCGGTTTATATATTTTCTACTCTTCTCCTCTTCATCGGTGCCATCTGGAATGCACTCGCGCAGAGTACAGATAGCTTCTTGGGGGCAAGGATTTTGCAGGTACCCGTTTTTTTTTTTTTTTGTATGAGACTTTATGGGATGAAGGAGTTGCTCACATTCGCTCTAGGGATTTGGACTGGGGGCATTTGAGACAATTGTTCCTTCCACTGTCGGGGACATGTACTTTGTGGGTTTTCAAGGGCTGGTGATTATCTCTTCCAAGGGCTGACAAGGTTAGGTTCACGAACGTGGAAAACGCATCGCCTTCTACAATCTCAGTTTCCTGGGAACCACTTATTTCATGCCGGTTTTGGGTGGATTCATATCCATGAGACATGGCTGGCGTTCCCAATTCCAGATTATTAGTGCCTTCCTTGCGCCGGCTTTAATCCTAGTTGTTCTTCTGGTCCCGGAGCACGCCTATAATAGGCCCGCAATTTTCGATACCGATCTGCACAGCGGTGGAGATCTCAGTGAATTGGATGAGGCTTTGGGGAGAGCTGATGCCGCTAAGGCTAGCGAAGGTAGGGCTGTGAGCGGGAAATCTGCAACTGCCAATAGCACAGAAGAAGAGAAAACCACAAAAGGGGAGGGAGGGGTGGCGAGTGGCAGTGACTTAAAGTCAGGAGGGATTGCCTCTACAAGTGAGACCCCCGCCACTTTAAGCGATGAGCCAGCTATCGTAGCGGAACCTATTGAAGAGAGGAAGACTTGGGTACAAGAGCTCAAGATTTACAATGGAAGGTTCTCGGATGAGAGTTTTTTCAAACTGATATTCGCGCCTTTTGCCTTGTTCTTGTATCCTACTACGCTCTGGTCGTTCTCCTTCCAAGGAACCTTCATTACTTGGGTATGTATTTTATTCCACCAGTATTTGCACTTCTAATTTACTAATACATGAGAACACAGGGGATTGCTGTCTCTGTTGTTCTTGCCCAGATGTTCGCCGGTCCTCCCACCAACTTTGGCCCAGAAGAGCTCGGATACATGTATACTGCGCCATTCATCGGGGCACTTTGTGCATATTTATTTGGCGCCTTCGTTTCCGACTGGTCAGCCAAGTGGATGGCGCGCAAAAACAAGAACACCTACGAGCCAGAATTTAGAATCTTGCTAGTTATTCCGGTTGCAATTTTTGGGCTGCCGGGACTGTACGCTTATGGACACGTCGCTGATTTGCATTTACACTGGATCGTTCCATCCATCCTCTACGGACTCTTGACATTTGGGGTTGTATTGAGTTGCACTGCTACCTTCTCTTATATTCTCGACGCACACCGAGATATTGCAGTAGAGATGATGGTTTCAATGTTGTTGCTAAAGAACTTTTTCGCCTTTGGATCCACCTATTTCTTGGTTGATTGGGTGTATAACGATGTAGGACCCCTCTCTTGAGTTGCCGAGGTCTTCCACTGATTACAGTACCGAAATAGGGTCCTGCAAGAGTTTTCGACATACTCGGAGCGATACAGACGGCTGTTTGCGTCTTGTCCATCCCAATGTACATTTTTGGGAAGGCCCAACGCGATCTCATGGCGAGACATAACTTGCTGAAGAAGTGGGGACTGTACCCCAAGTCGGCAGCGAGTGCTCTTCCTGTCTCCTGATTTTAGTTTATACTCAGACGTATGAGAGTTTCAGTGGAATAGATCTGGGGGCATAAGTTTCTTTCTGCCGATTGTTCTGGTGACGGACGGGTTTTTCTATAGACACTACCGAAAAAACTTCTCCTTTAGATTGAGTACCTTCTCTCGAGGAATTGGTGATGTGACTGCTGAGCTCGTGACCACTGCGCTATATGTGCTTATGTGTTAGAGTAGTTAGTGTTCGCTATGCTGATGCTTAGTCTTTAATTTATTTTCAAAGGCAGCATAATCCTACTGTAAATAATCTCGATCTCAGGCAAGTTATGTCTAAAGATAGGTAAGAGAGTCCGTGTTATACGTCCAAAAGGCTGCCGTCCTAGAGTGTGGCGGTAAGCACCATTTTCGACGGACACTGCCAACCCATCGTGTCATCGGCTGCGGTGAATGACCGCAAATCACGACGATTCCCCAGGCTGCCGTAGACCGACTAGCCAGTTATGGCAGCTTGTGTTCCCACTTTTTCTTTTCTTCTCCTGAGAGCATTGCTAATGCTTAGCTCCTAAAACCCGGAGACCTCTGCTCAAGTTCTGTGGTTTACATTAAACTATCCTCGACGAATAGTAGGTTGACCCCGGGTGTTTGGCCGCTTCGTGTAGGGTGTGCACGAGGTTTTCTAAGCGGCTTGATGCCGTTGGAATTGCTGGCTGTTTTTCTGGTTCTTTTTTGCCATGGATGCATAGCCATGGATTATCACTCGGGTGGGTTTAGGTGGCTAGGTATCACATATTTTGGAGGAGTCAGTTATCCGGCGGGTCTTTATTTTGGGTTTTTCACGCGGGGGTCCCCTGGCCGATTTTTTCCGTTTCTGATCGGTCGGTTCTGTGTGTGGGTTTGTCAATTGTGGTTCCTGGTCATGCTTTCATCGTGGGTTCCCTGCGTGTCCATGTACGATGAATTTCCTCACTGGGGACGCGGACGCGCTTGGTTTCCGCCGTATGGGTCGTGGGTGTATGTGGTAGAGGGGGGTCTGTACGTACAGTAGGATATGTCCTCACTTTTGTTGCCCTACCGAGTTGCGCGGTCCTTTCTTCTATGTTTCCACCGCGGCCCGGGCGTGTGCATCATACTGTACCCGAGTTACCCGAGAAGGGCAGGGCAAACACACCACCAAGCCTACTCACAGATACTGACCATAGATTCCCGCCAAAAAGGCCGCTAAAAAAGGAGCATGCTAATGCTTGTGGCCGACGGGGGTGAGCTCTGATAGCTTACCTTTCGATGTTTGGTTAAATGCTCACGTTTCCAACAGCAGCCCTGGGGGTCCGTTTTCGCACCTTTCGTTCGATATAATCCGTGCTATTACCACTTTAACTATCTCTCAATAGCGTCTCTCCGCACCATCACCCTCACTCCAGATAAAGGTTTTGTTGTTCCCCTTTCCTCTTCCCGCGTGTCTGAGCATACTGAAATTCCAAGTATGTTATCATAATTCCCTTCCCTTCAGTAGACCCGATCTGCCGGGGTCTCATATAATGCTGTGGACGGATTGCACGGCTTCTGTGGGAGAGCAAGCGGACCCTGTGTGAAGAAGCGAGAGAAAGAACCATAAGGTACCCGTCAAACCAGAAATTCTGTCCTAGGGGTATGATATAAACTAGTTGCTAGTCGCAACACTAACGGAAATCTACGCTCCTCTGGCGACCCCAATAACGATGAGCTATGTCGGGGCCTATATCACCCACGAACCAAATACGCCCAGGAATTAGTGTCCCCGGTACTGTTGAGAGATTAGAAGCAAGAGTAATTCCTACGAGCAAGGTGTTGTTTGTGCGTACTGTAGAAATTCGAATAATCGGACAATGTGCTATGTCGTCGAAGCTGCCTCCTCTGGTAAGGTCCCGCGTTCTTCTTGATTCATCGCCCCGCAGGGGGCTGAGCAGTTCAACTTTCACTATTTATTTTCCCCCTTGCTCCTTTCCCAGGGTAGGGAATTTTCGACGACATAATTAGCACATTGTTCGATTATTCCAGTTGCTGCTATAGGAAAACCGTCAGGACAGGTGTTTGAGTCCGGAGAGCACAATCACTAACTCCGAACTTGGAGCGTGGTGTTTCTCAGAGCTGACTTGACTGCCGATATTGATTTCTGTTTGCGAGTTCTAATGGTCGATTTATCTCTATATATTAGTGTATAATTTATTAAAATGACCGTTGATCTGATAAAAATGTCTGATCTGATGAAAAAAAAGTGGTTGACCTGATAAACTAACTGGTTCCCACATAGATCCACCTCTGAATATTTGCATACTTTGAATATATAGTACTGAATACTTATTTTAAAAGTGCGATCTGACCATTGGACAACCAATCTAAGGCACGGCTTATTTGTATCCTAACACCTACTGCTCAGAAGGAAAGAATCATCATAGCCAGCCAGGGGGGAGGAAAAGAACCAACATATATCTATGACTTAGTCAGTAAAGGTGGAGAAAGCTTGTCTCAAGATCCACCCGTTGTCCATTTGTGGAGCTACGAAGTCTTAAAACTAAAAAAATAAAAATAAAAAAAGATGAAATTGCCAAATTCCTCGAGGTCTCGAGGGGCCTATGCTAGCACTGTACTGTACTGTACTGTACTCGGTGCTGTACACTACTAGAGTACCCTACCAGTACTCTCACAGTACACTACGTAAAAATGACCCAAACTCAACTCAAATCCATGGTTAGCATTGTTGAAGTTTCTGATTCGTTTCATATGTATATTTTCTATGATAATATCTAATATTCCTCTACTTGGTGGTATTCCTTAAAACACAGACATTACTACAGCCAGGGCATATATTGCATATATTTCATTAATGTTTCATGATAACAATTAGGAATATTACTTGTGGATTTCTTATCTGGTACTCGGGATATTTCCTTACTTTTATGCATCTCTTATGCACCATTAACAGTCATTTGATTCATAATTATTTCATAATTATTCCCTCACACCATATTAGATTTCCTTATATTTATTGGGATTTCCTTGGCAGGCTTTCAGGGTCAAACATGTTCACACTTATGTTTTTCCCATTATTTTCTCTTATTACATGATGGTTGCGCACCTGTATATATAGCAGTTACGGCCCACCTCGCTTAGGAGAATTAAGGATCAGAATACCTACCAATCTACCTTCATACAACACTCCTCTTCACTTAGCATGCCTGCAGTACACTCTTTCTACTGCATCGTATTTTTGTACAGAGTTTATTAAGATTGTACCGTACTCTACATTTTGAACAAGCATAACCTTGAACACGGAACCATCGCTGGTCGGGATGCGGTAGGTGGGTAAATTTTCCGAAATGGATACACTGGGACGGCGGGTCAGTACCGTACCGTAGGACTTGAAACTTACTGCACGTTCGGCTGGCCGGCACTCCCGGTCACGAATTGGAAAATGCTGTTCCCGATTCCCATCTCAGGTCACTTTCAGGGCTGAAATAACTATAACACTTCTCAGAGCGCGATCCGGAATAGCGGTGTTGCTAAACGATCTTTTTTTATATATAAAATGCGGCTTTGGTTCTTTGTCTCAAGTAGCTTGGGAACTATCATTCGGCCCTTTGTTCACTTCCAATCCTGTCTTGCATGCTATTTTTGGAATAAAATGGAGGTTCGATTATTCCCGGACCAAATATCTTTCTTGCTGGTTTTGTCTGATCAGGTCTTGAGGGGCTGAAACAGACCCTTAGAATCCAAAGAGTGGGTTGAGGTCGGGGGCGCGGAAGGCTCTTGCTTTTTGGGTTGTTGGGGAAGGTGGGAATCGCCTTTTTGGGTTGTGCCCGAGTACTTGGCCGTTTATAAAGTATTCGGACGCCTTGGCATTATTAGCACCTCTATTGGTGCCAAGCATCCGAATACTTTATAAATGTTCAAGTACTCGTACCGTTTTCTAATCTACCCTGGTTGCGGAGCTATAACGCCCGGTTTTATGTAAATTCATGTTGTTTTGGTTGTGCATGGTGGTTGCACTATGCTCAATTATACTGCGGACAGACGAATCAAGTTAGGAAATCGTTAGGGCTGGAAGGGGGTAGGGTTGGATTGTTTAAAGGGATTGAAATACGCCACACTACGGATGGGAAAGCTCCCTTAGATTTGGGGACATCGTCTGGTCCCAAGGATCTTCAGCTGTTGACTAACGAGTACAAGTAGGGCGGATCGTATCGTGGACGGACCTGTTGCGGTGAGGAATTCGAGGGTAAGGAGTATTACCCCAAGTCGCCACATCTACTAAGCCGTTTATTATCGGGGTCCCAACTTAATAGCCCCCGCGGGATCTGCGAACAGTAGAGAGTGGCGCTCGGGCTGATGTAAAAACCGAGATACAATCCTTTTGTCTCGAGTATTTGGTCCTCGCCTATTTTCCTTTCGTATTAACGCAAGAGCGGCCCGGGAATTTTCTAGGAACAGGGCGCCCAGTACTCGTACATGGAACTGTGCACTCTAAGCGGGCCAGGCTCTAACTCAGGGTATAAATTGTCACCATTAAATTTCCTCCTTTAGCCATAAGTTAAAGTTATCCATCATCTTTTACTAAACTATTCCCAGTTTCCAGCTTTAAGAACAAGGATGCAAAATCAGGGCAAGCTATATCAATCAGATAAGTCGCAAACTCCCTCTCTGGAGAAGGACGTTTCGGGCTCCAACTGAGCCGCTAACTCAGATGGCGTCATCCCAGCATCGTCCGTCACGTAGATATCGACATCCTCGTGAGCGAGTAGAAGCTCCAATATCCCTCTCTGTCTGCCATGAATAGCCAAGTGCAACGGCGTGTCGCCAGTGTTCGATCTGCAATTGATATCAACCCTCCCGTCCGACAGGAGGAGATCAACAATGGCGTCATTCCCAATATAAACCGCTCGGTGCAACGGGGTCCAATTCCCTTTTCGCCCCCCTGATTAGTCTAGTCTCCTTTATAGTGAATTGATCTAGGGACATACTCATATCATCAAGCACGTTAGGATCGAATCTCCCGTCGTCAAGCAATACCTGCACAACATCTTCGTAGCCGCGCTCGGTCGCGATATCAAGCAGGGTCTGCCCCCCAGGTTCCCCGATCGCGACATCAAGCCTCTGATCGCGCAGCATCATCTGGAGAATGGATACGCTCCCCTTGATAACGGCAAGATGCAGTGGCGTGTGGCCACATACATCGAAGCAATTGACGAGCAATTTCTCGTCCTCCAATAACATTTTCACAATCTCCACTTGCGCTCCCCTCACGGCAGAGTGCAACGGCGTCTCATCATAGTGATCAGCGAGGTTGACGTCGACCCTCTTGTCGTTCATCAGAAGCCTAACGGCAGGGAGATGTTTCCTTCTGACCGCAACGTGAAACGGGGACTTCCCACGACGGTGTTCCTGGAGATTAATATCCACGTCTTTCCTCCCCAGCAACACCTCCAACACGTCTTGGCGCTCCATCTTAACGGCGAGGTATACCAACGAGCGTCCCATGGAATCCTTCGTATCCGCCGGAACCCCACAATCCAGCAGCGTCTCCACAACAGCACAACTCCGATTCACCACCGCATCGTGTAGGAGGAGCCTTCCGCTCTCGATAAACTCTAGCGCTCCCTTCTGTATCAACCAGGAGATGGGTAGCCCCTCCCTTCTCTCGGCAAAGAAGTATATCGCTTTGACGGCGTACTCTTCTGAGCGTGTACGGCAGATGCTGGATAGGAGGTCGGAAGGCAGAAGGAGGGATAGGTGCCGGTTCGCACGGAGGAGGTGGTTTATGTGGGGTGGTGAGAGGGACTCGGTGATTTGGAGGATTGTTTCGTTGGGGAGGTGCGTGAACTTCATAACTTGATTTAGTCGTTTCGGTACTTTTAGCGAGCGGCGGCGATGTGCGGGGTGGAAGTTTAGTCTTGGGAATGGTAGCGGACAGTTAATATTGGGATGGGAGGGTGGGATGTAGGCTATGAAACTTTTTGCTTAGTGGTGGTGGTGGGCATAACCGATCCAGTGGTGCAAAGCGATGTTGGCTGGATCACGTGTGAGGTTGCTGAACTGTGACCGCCCGTTTGTACTTGGCTACTTATAAAGTATTCGGACGCTTGGCACTCAGAGAGGTGTTAATAATGCCACGGCGTACAAACACTTTACAAATGGCCAAGTAGAGTCATCATTTGTCACTCTTCAGCCCAAGGGTGGAACCGAGACGTGTTTCAGAGAGCTTTTTTTTTTTTTTGCGTTTTTTGTCCAGGTAGATCCAGTCGGGATTCCCTCAGGCATGCCTCAGTATGATTACCGAGATTCTTGGATTCCTGGGTTATTCTGTCACCACATATTGATTATTTCTGGATATCAGGTATACTAGCACCTAGCCCTCAGTGTTACATTCAGGACCGAGGGGAGAAAATTTATTCTCAAGGACCACGAAGCTCTCAACACAGCAAGGATTCCCGAGAGTTCAATAACGCGCAGCCGCAGCGGGCGTGTTATTTGACCGTGCAGTACAATCCATCTGCATCCTCAACCTTGAATTACTCCAAATAAGGGATAAAATTGTGAGATCCCCCGGGGAATAGTAGGACAAGGCGGGGCGGCAAGAGGAATCACTAGAACCCCAGAGAAAGCACCTACAAACCCGGGACCCCCCCCTCAAAGATCGTCTAAACAAACCTCTCGTAACAGAAATCTAGGCTGGTATATACGATACTGGTCACCGGGCGTCCTGTCAGGTTCGGAACAGCAGAGAGGTAGCTAGGACAAGACTCAGCTGCTACGCGTGGGACAACAGCAAGGCTGGAAACCCAACTGGATGGGGCCGGGCCAATCGGAAAAATACCGCGACAGGTTCCAGTAAATTGTGCACAAGTAATACTTCTATTCTCGTGGATCCGATCTACAATAGAAAGGATTCTCCTAGAATTCCGGGAGTGCTGCAAGGTACTGTATTCGTACACGCCCGGATAACCTAAGGGATGTCTCCCGTAGGCCCTGCTCGCTGAAAGACAGCATCCATCCTATTTAAGGGAGCACTTGAGGCGGCAACCGCGGCTTCGGTGCGAAGTCCACCGTCACCTCAGCGCTCGTGTGACGTGGGAGAGACAACCGACGAGCTCAATCAACGGTATGAGCCGAGTTCTGTCTCAAACGTTCTGCCAGTCTGGAGTCTGGATTGCGATCTAGCCAAGGAATACTAGAGTAGAGGGAGTTCGCCGTGGCTATCGTGTCTCAGCCTTTTCACTGCAGGGCTGGTCACAGATGGCCTCGCTTATTGCGCCGTCTGGGCAGCTTGGTAGGGGTATTGGTGGTTGGAGAGTGTTAAACGTAGTATTATGCTGTACCGCTCCTGGTATGCGATGCCCTAAGGGATTTGAGCAGTTGAAATGGCGAAGCGGCTCAGGTTCGATAGGGACCAACTGTAACGTATTGGATTGGGAAGAGGGTCGGAAGCAGAAGTGAATCATTTGGTGTGCAAATTTTGCTCAACTACTCACTACAGAACTTTCGCCAAAATCAAAACTCCGGGGCTAGACGTTAATTGTGATTTCCGGATTTTGAAATTTTTGGTGCGTTTTTAGCTGGTTCTCTTCCCCATCTGACCTGCTTCCCGGTTTGCCAAGTTATATCGATACGGTAGATAGAAAAGTGGGATTGGGCACACCAGCCCCTTGACAGGTTTTGGAGTGCTGGCCGGGGGGGGGGGGAACGCCTGGTTGAGACACTGGGTCAGAGTGCTTGGGAGAGTAGGAGAGCATCATCGAATTTTCCTACTCGTAATTGAATCTGTCCAATTGTGATATGGTGCCATTCGCTCAAAATGCACACCTTCCTCCACGCAACACGTAACGCTCAACCCTGTATAAAGCAAACTCTACACCCCAACTTCAACATCTTTAGAGAAATTTAACTTCCCCCCATAAAAATGTCACATAATTAATCATGTATTAATTTCTGTTTACACCAATCTGATATGAATATCCCAAGCAACCTTTATTCTAACTACATATCTGTAGCCCTGGTACTAATCCATACAAGATGAGCTCCGATCTGTTTGGTTCCAATTTGCGGCAAGAAATAACGGTTGATTTTAACGCATATAATTGTCAAGCAGATGATTATGGGCTTGTAAAATTAACACATTATTAATTATGTGACGTTGTTACAAAAGAAGGTCAAGTTTCTAAGAGGATGCGGGGTTTAGGATATAGTGCTTACTTCACACAGTGCTGAACGTTACGTGTTGCATGGAGCAAGGTGTACGAGTACGTTTCGGGTGGATGGTACCGTACTCTTCCCGAGTCAAAAATGCTGTGCCCGACCTTTACCCATGAATAAGCAGCGGTTCTACCGCACCCTATTTGTAAGACCGCGCTTACCCCCCGTAACCTCTCAGGGCTATCAGAAACACCAGTTTCTGAGGATGTTTGAATTATGAGCAGCAGACTCATGGCCGGTGGGGGGGTGCCTACCGCACTGTCGCTACCGCTGGCTGCTACACCTCAGGGACAGGATTTTTTCTTGTTTTGTTTTGTTTTTGGAGAGTATATAGTACCCGAGTGCCAGTGCTGATATGACAAGGTATAACATTTGAGTTGATAGAGACGATTGGCACTATCGCTGATTGACTGGGGATTTTGGATATCTACGTGAATTGAGGGCTTACTACTGCAGGACCATGTTCAAAGACCATGGAGTACCTTGAGATGTCATGTGGGAAATTTCTAGGCATGGTGGGGTTCGGACCGCTGCGGCTAGCTAGGGGGTTCCCCGAAACCTCGGGGGTATCGATCTGTGGGAACGATACCGGTATTCTGCCATGGTGGCAGTACTCGGGTATCGTTGCAGTAGGAAATCCTCCGAACAGGAGGATTCCTGGAGTTCTGTAGCGCTGAGAGGACTTGTTCATAGACAATGGGAAGGTGTAGTGTTTATACAAATACTCGTGCTATATACAATACCAATATTTTGGGGTTCACGCCCCAAAGTACGAAATGAGTAGTTGCCCCTATTGAACTTAGCCCCTTGCTCAAGCACCAGGGGCTAGAAATGGGTGCGGCAACACCATCACGAGTTGAGGGGTATTTCTTCATCTGCCACTGGATTCCAATTAACTATTACTTGCTACAACAACGCGTGGACAGCATGACAATTGGGAAGTCTGTTTACAGCGTCCTGCTCTAAAAGTCCAACACTTCACCGAATTTAAAATTGGCTGCTTCGCCGTGTTCACCGTCATACTGATCTTATCTGCTCCCTCAGAATTCCCCAGACTCGGAATTCATGGCAGATTTTTACTCCCACAGCGCTGACCGACCGACACTATATTACCATCGCACTCTGAAATGAAATTCGCGGTTCCCCTCACCCCGCTCACTTCATTTATCAACTTGCTGTGCTCTAGTATATCGCTCTACCCGAGGGGCGTGTCAAACCGGGAGGTTCAAAGCTCGCGGTACATGGAGGGTACGGGTGTTTCGGTAGAGGTGCTCCTCGGGAGGAGGGATGCAGCATACCAGTACAGTACAGAGGTACGGTCGTTTTATTCAAGTAGTACGGTACATCTGTATTTGTGGGGCATATTGTGTACAGTCCTCGGGTACTCGGTTCGTAGCGTGCTGAGAGCGTTGAACCTCCCTAATTCGGGTACCGAGCTCTCCGGAGCAGGAACTTCTTAGGCTTAGCGGCCTGCAACTAATTCTGAATTTTGTCAGAAATTTTGGGTAGCTGTATTCCCCGATTTCTCCTTTTCTACCCTGTTATGAAATTGCGTCGCGATTCAGGAATTATTGGGATGCCCGCCATTATCTAAAGGTGGTGATGGTTTTCGCTGTTGAATACTTGATCTCTGCGGGCGCTTGAGTATTGTATGGTTCAACTTTCTTGAAACCTGGTCCAACCAACTACATACAAACCGGCAATGAAATAACTCCTCCAAAACAACAAATATTAGAGTAAAAAAAGCGTGAGAGTATCTCAAATGAGGATGTTAGTTCTCTCACACTTTTTTTTTTGAAATAAAAGATATAAAAAAAGAGAAATTGAAGAAAGAGTTTGTATGAGATGAAACATGTACTGAAAAGTTCAGTGGAGCAGACTGAGATAAACGCTAAGAAGGTGGGGCTCCTCAGACAGGTTGCCCAGCAATGATTGTCCTCAGGAATAACATGACATTTTCCTAACAGGAAATGGGCTAAACAAGGATCTACTATTACAGGATTGAACTGGTATACCACAATGGCTGATAATACTCACTCTGGTGGTTCGGTCTCAGCATCGGCAACTCCGGTCACTTCGGCATGTGTTTCATCACTAGTCCACATTTTAGATGGGTTGCAATAGCCTTTCCTTTCCTTCCGCCGTCTACCGTAGGCGTAAGGTAGTCTAGTTTCTAAAATCTGTCGTGGTTACTGCCAGCCCAACGGTAGCGGAGTGACGCAAGAACCGGCTGCAAGCGTCGGGGGGCGTGGCTAGCCGGACGGGGCGTGGTACGGTACTCGTACTGGTACATCGTTGAAGCCTGTCCTGTTCTGTGCAGATTCCCGGTTTATCCTTTCCGGGTTGTCGGCCTAAATAGTGCGCTCATCCGGTTCGGGAAAAAATTCCGGGTGCCCTGTTGCTCCGGTTTGAAGAACACCCCTCACCTGCCCGAGTAGTCTAGCGTTAGTGCACGAGTACAAGTACTCGTACCCACAGAAAGAAGCCCATCGTGCTATCATTCGTAATGGGTCCGCTGCCAAGCCTCCGTAGATATTTGTCTCATGAACACCATCATTCGGTGAGGTCTAGAATTGGCTCTGCGTGTGAAGGGGTAGTAATTAAGTGTCCAAAAGTAGAAACACAAAGCGCCAAGTTAGAAGTTGTTTTTTTCTATGATACTCGTACAAGTACGGTAGTCATTGTGCGAGATAATTCCACAGCTCTGGACAAGGCTCCGCGAGAGACGCACAAGCACTTTACGATATGCCGCTTTTGGGAACTGAAGGAGGGTGTTGGCCATAACTGTTGTGCGACCGGGGCTGGGCTTCCGATGCTCGATGACATTCGGCTGTTCGTCATGGCGCGGCCACCAAGATCGACCCCAGCATGGTTAACCTAAATTTGCCAGTACACGTACCGGTACTGTACCGTACTAGTACAGTACCGACCGGTAGACTACCGGCAATACGCCAAGTTTTCAAACTACCTTTAGCTAGCCTAGTAATATATGTTCCGTAATTACCGACTTTCGTTGGCCGGATTCACTACTGCTCGAGTAGACAAATGGGTGTGTAGGATACCGGTACCTGTATCTACTCGTATCCGACATGAAAGTACCGGTATCTGGAAATGAGACATTGTTTTTTTGCTAGGAGAGTGGTTATGTAACACTACCGGTGTTTCCAGGTACTTATTGCCGGATAGCTTACTAGTACTGGAATAGTAGTATTTCTCACTGAAATAGCGCAAGTTACTGGGGGATGTTTTCCGCAAGATAGAGTACCGGTGTTACTGTACGAGACTGAGGGGCTGAGGGGTATCATCTCGCATCACTGGTAGCTGTTTGCGTGAACGTGAATGAAGGGACGGGCACCCGAACAAGGCTAGTCCGTCGGACAGGTGCGCACGCGGGGTGGAAAAAAAGGAAGAAAAGGAAAAAGAAAAAAAAGAAGGAAGGGAACTGGGACGATCGGGAAGTTTTAATAAGCGATCTGAACACGAGTGACGGGAACGGGAGGCGGTAATCCGTGGCGTGCGTACTGCAGCCATGAAAGTGGTGTGATAAACTACAGGAGGTTCCATCGTCAACCAAGTAGCAGTAAACTTCCCCGGAACGGATGCCCATTCGGTTGGGCCGGGCTCAAGTTGAGCTGCGAGGCTCACAGCCGAGAGCCCGGGTGGGGAGACACGATTTCCACGGAGGCAGACTGGGTCACTGACCACCAGAGGAGAGTGCGTGTGGCTGACGACATGTTCCCTCCCCGCGGTGGAACCACGAATCATGGAGAAGCCTGTCTAACCTGACGAAATTCTGGCGTTTCGATACGAGCACGGTGCTCGAGTAACCACCTCTAGAATAACTTATCCGTGACGGGGAGGTGGGGATCGGGGAGGGGACGGGGGGGAGCACAATGGTGTCTCATCCGGGCCCGACGGTAAATTTACGAGCATTAATGCGAATACGATATCGTACCTGTAGTAGAGAGATATTACCCGAATATATGAGCAGGATCTACAATCACATTGATTGTGTATCACCTACTCTACGAGTAGAAGTAGTGGTAAATGGTAAAACTAGGTAAGGCTTGTATTTGCTGGATGGGACCCACCTCGGAAGGATGGGGGTATTATATTCAGTAGGATACGAGTACAATTTGACCCTGAGATTGGTAATAACCTGTAATAGTGGGTCCATACAATTCAGAAGGATAGGCTTCATGAAGGCAATTTTGAAAGTCTTCCGAAGGCACATGACCCGAGAGGGATGGGGACGCAGAGCCTGTGATAGTTACGATATGCTTCCAACTTGAACAATTCTGTGCTAATGCGGCAGCACGGATAGCAACACCCGATCCCTTACCTTGTTGCCGAATTTCAAGGCACCGTAGCGCTGGTAGGTCTTGGCCGACAAGGGTACGTGTTTTTCCGGTGGGTGGTGGGCTGTCCTGAAGAGTCCTCAGAAAATCTCGTCTCCGTCATGGCCATGCTAATAGGTACTTTAAGGGGGTGTTGGGCTGAGAATGCACAAACCGAGTAGCACTCAGCATGGTCATGATCGCAGCATCATCCTCTGTGCACATTTAATCACAATTGCCCTAGTAGGCTAGTACTTAGTAGTCTGGACAAGGGCTGAAGGTCTGCTTAGTGCACCACTACTGTTGGTACAGTACTGTAACCACCTCCGGTATGCGGTAGAATAGCGCCTGCCGTGATTACGAGGTAAGGGATACACCACGAGCCACGGGATTCCGAAGCCTTTGGTACAGTACGCTATGCGGAAAACTGCAGTTGAATTGGATCATCAGGGATCAACTGTCCGGTTGATATCGATTGCTGGCACATCCAGGGAGGGCCGAAAGCAGCAGCTCCACAGCATACAACGATCATTGCCGAGAAAGACTTCATCCCAGCTAACCAAGGGCAGTCCTAGCAGTCAACACCGGCAACCCATTGAGTGATCGTCTAATAAACCGGCCTGTCCCCCATCTCGGGGTAGAACTACGATCGTATTTCGCCCACTTAGCCTTTCGTAGTTTCACATCCATCTCCCCCTCCGGAGATGTCTGGGGTTATTGCATTACCGGTACGAGTACTCTCCCAGTGGGGTAAATACGGAAGAACCAAGACTAAATTATATAAAGGCTCGGGTGGGAGGCCAGATTAAAAGGTGCTCTCCTGTGTTTCTCGCCAGAGAACAGCTGCATTGTCCTAGGAATCCAACTGAACAAAGGAAGGGACCATTACAAGAAGAGGGAAAATATTTTTCTTACTGCATGTTGATTCCTTCCATGTGGGGTTTGAGTACGCTAAATGGTTTTAGGTTTTGCCAGAGTGATAGCTCTTGAACAAGATGACCTTGGAGACAGTGATATCCTATGTTCGGGAGCAGTCTTCTGACCTTTCTAAGGGCACCATCGCCGCCACAGTGTTTGGGGTGTGGCTTTTGAATAGGATTATCCTTGTTCTTTACAGACTTTACCTGGACCCGTTGTCAAAGTTTCCTGGGCCGAAATTGGCTGCCGCGACCTCCATGTATGAGATGTATTACGATGTGAGTTGGGGATGCATTGTTTTGCCACCGGGAGCTAATACTTTCGTAGATAGTTGAGGATGGAACGTTTGTATGGAAAATGGATGAATTGCATAGGAAATATGGTAACACATTATAGCCAGCATGGGTATGATATCGTGCTAATATTCTGAAGGTCCCATTGTCCGCGTCTCCCCGCATAGTCTCCGCCTCCGGAAGAGTTCTGCATACCATGAGGTAAGCTGCAGTTCTCGGGATCGGAGGCTTTCGGTGCTCCGTGCTAAAATTTTGAAGGTTCACAGAATGGGCAGCCCCTTCGCCAAAGACAACAGGTTCTACCATTTCTCCGGCGTTCCCCGGTCTACCTTCGCGACCATTGACATTGATCTCCACCGCCAGAGGCGCGCCCCGCTGAACCCAATGTTTTCAAGAAGAGGAATTCTAGACACAGAGTTTTTCGTCAAGGAGAAGATTGAGCTGCTCTGCCGTCGCATGAAGGAGCATGAAGTGCAGGGTAAACTTTTTAATTGCTATAACGGATTCGCTGCAATGGCCGCGGACATTATCACTGAATATGCTTATGGTAAGAGCTATGAGTATTTCACCCTTTCTGCACACTCTGAGTGTTGGCCCCTCTGCTGATGGAGGCAGTGTTCTGAAATCCCCGGACCTCACCTGCCCTGCATTCACCTCGCTCCATGCTCAACACGAACTCTTCTTAATCCTGAGGCACTTCCCGCTCTTTAGAATGGCAATGCAATCACTGCCTTTATCTGTTCTCCGTCTGGTGCCTGCTGGAGGTATAACTCTGCCCGGAATCCTTTCCTTCTTGGCTAAACGCTAACATTATGACAGCTGGCTTGGCTGAGCTGGAGGAGGAAGCAAAGGCCAATCTAAAGGCCGTCTACGCGCGTATGGGCACCACGATGGAAAAGAATTCCGCGCACCGGACCGTTTTCGAGGAGCTCCTCGCCAGGCTCCCGGACCCGAAGAACGCTGACCCCACCGACCTGACCAATGAAGCGATGGCCGTTGTCACCGCCGGATTTCATACGGTCCGATGGACAATCTGCACAGGGATACTAGAAGTTGCGGGGAATCCGCTCATCCAGACAAAACTTTTTGAGGAGCTTAAGACGGCCAGCCCGGATGTTAACGCCGAGTTTTCGTACCTTCAATGTGAGAAGTTGCCGTATCTGGTTCGTAGTGGGCTATTCCTCCGCGAAAATGTGAACGGCTTTAGCTAACAATGCGCAGAGAGGTGTGATACTTGAGTCGCTCAGACTGTCATATGGTATCATTGGACCCTTGCCCCGACGGGTACCCAAGGAAGGGGCCGTCGTTGGCGGCTACCATCTTCCCGGGGATGTGAGTACCACAGCCGTAACTTACCAGCCTTAACCCTTTCATGGCTAATCATGCAGTCAACAATCGAAATGGACAACTACTCCCTCCACCACGACGAGGAGATCTTTCCGGATTCCCACCGCTTCTGGCCGGAACGCTGGCTAACCCCCGAATCGAAGCAGAAGGAGAAATTCGTTAATTCTTTCGGAGCAGGACCTAGACAGTGCCTTGGTATAAAGTGAGCAACCCCCATTGGGAACCCCATACCCTCACCGCCTTCCAGAGCTAACATTTTCAGTCTCGCACTCTGCGAATTGCACTTGACATTCGCCACTGTCTTCCGTCGTTTTGAGGTGGACATTAGTGCCCGGGGCAACAAGCGAATGAAGATCAAAGACCACTGGCTGAGCATCCTCCGGGATGAGCCATTGAAATGTAAGCTCATATCAAGGAAGGAGTGAACGAACTCCATTATTCATGATTTGTGTTTTTTTTTTTTCTTGTTCCCTTTTTTCTGTTTATATCCGTTTGAAGCGCGATTTGATCTCATTCAACCTTTATGGGTATCATTTTTTTGTATGTATTTTCTCTTGACACTCTATGTAGCAATGAAATGCAATTCAAAAAGGAAAAAGGGAGGGGAGGAAGAGATGCGAAGCGCTCACGAGACCAGCAGAAAATCCTTTAAAAAATAAAAAAAAATAAAAACTGTGGAAAATAACCAGACTACTCTACCCTCCATCCTCTGAGAACTAAAAGAATGTTCCTGGATATCCTCCTGGTGGAGCAGCGACGGAAGCGGAAGGGCTGTATGCCGGTGCCTAGGGTTGGAGTGCATATACTCGAGCGACTGAAGGAGTTTGTGGTTGCGCCATACCTTGGGGTTGGGAAGATAGCGGGCTCAATGGAGGGTGCTGTTGTGCGTAGGGATCAGTTCCAGCGCTGGCGGAGGAAGAACTGAAAGGTGTTGAAATTTCCGATTCATTTCATATGTATATTTTTTTGTAATAATATCTAATATTCCACTATTTGGTGTTATTCCTTAAAACACAGACATTACTACAGCTAGAGCATATATTACCTACTATATCCCATTAATATTTCATAATAACGATTAGGTATATTATTTGTGGATTTCTCATCTGGTGTTCAGAATATCTCCTTACATCTATGCATCTCCTATACACCATTAACAGTCATTTGATTCATAATTATTTTGTAATTATTCCCTCACACCATATTAGATTTCCTTATATTTATTGGGATTTCCTTGGCAGGCTCAGGCTTTCAGGGTCAAACATGTTCACATTTATGGTTTTCCCATTATTTTTCTCTTATTACATGATGGTTGCATACCCAGGCCTGTATATAGTGCTTGCCACCCACCTCGCTTAGGAGAATTAAGGATCAGAATACCTACAGTAAGGTAACAAATATCATTGTTGATGGCCACTCTCACATCAAAAGTATGGTTTTCTACAGCATTGATACTCCACCACTTGCTGTGCAATTAAATCAATTCTTGTGGAAATGATTCTGAGTATTGAATTCACAGTATTAAAATCTTGAAACATATGATGCAATATTTTGTGAACTGTCGCAGTGTGAAATTAGTAATTTTAAAAACAGGTATCTTTTTCTGTGGGAAGCCATACAAATTCTTGGCACTTATCTCCAGTTTTTGAATTAGTCACTCTAGACGATGAGTGTTGCACAAAGAACAAAGAGATTTGTTATAGAAATATGAATTTCAGAATTGCTAGTTCTTTGGCTAGTTATGAATACATTTTAAAGTTAATTGGTTAAGAGGTGGAAATGCAAATCAGGATTTCCCAAGCCCTATTCTCCATTGATTTCCATGTGTTTCAGGCCCTACTTAGGCCCACCAACGATAACTTTTGACCAAGAACTATACCAATCTACCTTCATACTACACTCCTCCTCACTTAGCGTGCCCGCAGTACACTCTTTCTACTGCGTTGTATTTTCGTACAGAGTTATTAAGATTGTGCCATACCCTACATTTTAAACAAAAGGAGGGTATTGCTGTTCGCTGTAGGGATCTACAGCCACTGCCGGGTATTGTTGAGCACTTGGATTGGTAGCTGGGTCCGTTGGGGGGGTGCTCGTGGGAGATCCGCCCGTGGTAGCATCGTAAGCAAGGGGCACGAAATTTTGGGCTTGGCCGGATACCGTTTGTCCGGGTATAACTGGTGCTTGGCCAGTTCCGGTGAGCGGGGTTGTGGGTGCCACGGGGTTGGATACAGCAGTGGTTGTTGCTGTTGGTGCAGCAGGATTACTCTTGTTGGTATCTCCAATTGTGGGTATAGGGACCGTGGTGGGCATTGATACCCCGATTTCCTGAAGTATAGGGGCGCCGCTTGTCACGGCCGCGGCCGCGCCTGTTTGAGTACCAAATGCAGCTAGTGGGATTCCCTATTGTTGGGTATTCCATTTCGCCAGAGCTTTATCTTCATCCGTTCGTTTATCGACAATAGGGTAGCACTGATCCTGGAAAGGGATTTTGATGTTCTGTATCGCAATGTATCAGCGCACATATCTTCAAGAATAGGGTGAGCAGCGTGCGAAAAGTGTGGTCTCGAGAGCTTTCGCATTTATCGTTCTGTCTTGCCCGATGAGGGCAATTAAGTCCAGATTGACCTCATTCTTTCCCAGAATTCCGGTTGTCGAGTTTGCAAGAGTTTCATGCTTGCTCCCAGGGCATGCTTGGGTATTATCTTCTCTAGTGATGGTCGTGTATGTTCTCTTTAGCCTTGGAAGTTTTAGCTTGAAGCCTGCCTCGTATCCAAAGATTCCTACAAGTTGGATTCCAATCGCTAAAACTAAGTTTGTGCTGGCTTGGAATTCCGCCTCAAGGGAACCCGCAAGAAGCTCGAATGGGAGACCCTCCATCTTTGCACCTTCCCATTTCGAGGATTCGTACTTGTTCTTGTCGAGGAGGTCTTTCCTACAGACCGCGCTATTAGGGGCCTACGGAATGTTAGGAAATGGCCATATATTTTCATCGGCGCACATTTCTCTGTGGGAATACTAATTCTTACCTGCCCTTTGAACCCAAATGTAAAGTCAACATCACTTTTGATAAGAGAGCTAAGCCCAACCTCAAATTCAAACTTGGACCCCAACATGAAGATTCCAGGAATCATGCCTAGCGACAACGTAACTGTGAATATATCCACTTCAACCTTCAGACCGGTATCAACTTTGCCGTCTCGATTCAAGTCCTCCGACTTTCTAGTGAAGATTCTAAACTTCATCATAGTTGTGAGGTCCACTGGCTTGGCCTTGGAGAATGCAGATTTAGGTAGAAAGTCTTCGAACTATTAGAGTTGCTAGAGAAAGAAGAGGAAAGAGAGCAGAGAATGTATCTGGACATGACCAGAGATGACAACCTTCCCAGTGACATAACAGTCCACACAATCAATAACATCGCCGGGGTTATCCCTACTGTGGGACCGTATAAGCAATCAGAATTTGAATGATTATATAGAAAGCTTACTGGAGCGGATCGGTATAAAGATTTCTCTTTACGCCACTCTTCCCTGAGGCAAGGTTGAAATCGGCATGGCCCTTCCCGAGTCTTCCGTCACCAATCTCTGACACCTGATTTGGTATGGCTTCAAACTTTTCTCCAAGTGCCAAAGTCCCGGAAAGCATCGACGATGGAATTTCCAGCTTTATCGACCACGTTTTTGATGTCTTTCCCGGCATCGTTAAAAGGTTTTTTTGTGTTTTTCCCGAAGTCCCTGAAGGCTTTTCCTATGTCCCAAGGGCCGCGGATGAACAGGTCTCGGGTTTTCATGCCGTGCCTGGATTCACTGCCATCTACCCGGAGGTTCCCAAAACCAACGCTGTATGAGCCGATAAGTTTAGACCATTCTTTTTCTTCAGAGTAGAAGTTGACTCTTAGTTCTTCGTTGTCGACGCCCACTCCGATAGACTCTGACAGTTCTAAAGGTAAGTACGATTCCTAACTTTGGGTATTGGGTGATCACCTATAAACCGTCCGTCCGTTCTCCGGGCCACACCCTTTGTGATTTGTTATCATTATGAACTCATTTTTGTCGCTCTCGTTCAACCATCCCCATATCCGATAAACATAATTGTATATTTTCCTTTCCTTTAGTGTCACCGAGAGTTTTCCATCGCCCGCCGTTGTGCAATCCACATCCTTCGTGAAGCCGTTAAACTTCTCCATTAACAGCTTCTTTCCCTTCGGCGCGTTGATGGTCATATTCGCAACAAACAAGCCACCCTCTTGGGCTATTATACAATTAGTTGGCATTTCCAGTCTACGAGTAGAATACTGAGCCCATACCAGCAGGTGCCCCCACACATCAATAACTCTCCCATACTCGGGTCTAATCGTGAATAATGGTCCAATTTCGGCACATCCGACGGCCCGTTTAATGAGTGATGCAGATGTTAAAATTAGAACAACTCGCTTATCCTGTACGGTCGCAGATAGGAGTCGGTGTGACTCACACCTGCGACCATGTATTACACATAGATATTTCCTTGGTTGGGTGGCTGCGCACGTGACTGGAACTTGGGTATAAAAGGAATGGGAATCTCTCCTAAGTTATCCATCGACCCTTTCCGCTATTTTCCTCGCGATTGAAATCTCAACACCACGAGAAATCATCGTGAGCCCCACCCCCCCACCGCCCTCCCCCTTGGGGGGCTCCCTCCCCTCGCCCCCCCCCTTTGGGGTACCTGGGCTGTCCCCCTTACCTCTGGGGCCCACACAGTCTTTACCTGTCCCCTCCCTTTGGTTTATCTTTGCATCTCGCTTACGTTTTCCACGGTCGCTCGCGTCGTCCGCCAGGGAGGTCCCTCTCTTCGTGTAACGGGGGCT